AGGTCTAATCATATATACAAAGTACCAGCCATTTGGGCCCACTCAAAGTTGTTAACAAATACTTTGTTGCTGTTCCATAGGCCCACCTATACATACATTAGACTTCAACATAAGCTCTCTCCAAAGTTTGGAAGAATGTGTGCTGTGGGCCCACTCATAACCATTAGATACACACTGTATGCAGGCCCACCCAAAGGCATTGATATACAATGATAAAGTGGGCCCATGGTGGGCTGGCCCATGTCACATGGGAAAAATGTCAAGGTGGGGTGACCATGTTTACAGGGTTAGGTCACTGAAGGGGCTCATAATAATCATAAAATCTTGGACCTTGATAAAGTGTAATGGTAAATGTATTGGCCACCTGTTTTGAGAAATGCCAGAAATGTTCAAAACAAGGGGGGTGCATGTGCACATTTTGAGACATGGTGGAAATGTGTGAAACAAGGCAGGTGCATTTGCACATTTTGAGGCATGCCAAAAATATAGACAACAAGAGGGGTTGTCATATCCCATATTCCGGACCTACATCTGACAATATTCCCACGCCTCATCCGTTCCTCCATTCCCTATTCTGCTTCAGACTTTGTCCTTGCAGCCTTTCCTCTGTTTGCTTCTACTCAGGACTTGTCCTGAGTAGCCATTATACATATCTATATCAGGATGAAACCTCATTGTAATTTCTGGAAGTTCCTCCTGAACTTTCCTGCACTCGTCTGGAAGTTACTTGCACTTGTCCAGAAAGTCCTTCCAAAGTTTCCCGCGCTCTTCCGGAAGTCCTTCGGACTTCCTTGGACTTTACTTTCTCCGGACATCATTCTGAAATTAAGGGCACATACTTGGGTAAGGGGCGCAGCGCATAGCTGAAGCCAAGCCCCTTTGAATCAGTCCTACTCTTTGTGCACGGTCTTAACAGGGGTCCATTTTGCACATTTTGAGGAATGCCAGATATGTGCAAAATGGACCCCCTCATTTTGCACATTGTGAGGAATGCCAAAAATGTGCAAAAATGTGCAGAACAAAGGGGGTGCATTTGCGCATTTTGAGGCATGTCAACAATGTGTGAAACAAGGGGGTCCATTTTACGCATATCTGGCATATCTCAAAATGTGCAAAACAAGGGGATGTGTGACATGCACCCTACCAACTGTGCAAATGGACCCTCCTCATTTTGCACATTTTGAGGAATGGCGAAAATGTGCAAAACAAGGAAGGTGTATTGTGCACATTCTGAGGAATGCCAGAAATGTGCAAAATGGACCCCCTCATTTTGCACATTTTGAGAAATGCCAAAAATATGTAAAAATTGACCCCCTTGTTTCGCACATTTTGAGGAATACCAGAAATGTGTAAAATGGACCACCCTTGTGTTGCACATTTTGAGGAATGGCGAAAATGTGCAAAACAAGGGGGATACATTTGCACATTTTGAGGAATGCCAGAAATGTGCAAAATGTACCCTCCTTGTTTTGCACATTTTGAGAAATGCTAAAAATGTGTGAAACCAAGGGGGTCCATTATGTACATTTTGAGGAATGGCGAAAATGTGCAAAACAAGGGGGATACATTTGCACATTTTGAGAATTGCTCACATTGAGCTAGCCATAACCATGGTCTAACCATATCCCATATAACAAAATATGCTTAGAAATTTACTTCACTTGACACAACTTGCCCTTGACTTCTCCTTGACTGATTTCCTTCACTTTACACCACTCCCCCTTCCTTGACTTCTCCTTGACTGTCCTTCCCTTGCCTTCCCTTCACTCGTCCTTGACTTTACTTGACTTTGCCTTGTATCGTATCTTGTCCTTTTCCCCTTTTCTGCCTTTGACTTGTCTTTCTATATCTTTTCCGTCTACTTTGTTTCGCCCTCTATCCCTTGACTTCACTTGACTTGAAGCTTTCATTATCTCATCTATTGCTTCTCCGATCCCTTGACTTCCTGACTTTCGTCTCACCACCCCTTCCATCTTCCCTTGTTTCACTTGTCTTCTTTTCCTTGACTTCCCTTCTCTTGTCCCCCTTCCTTCGCTCTTGACTTTCCTTATCTTTTCCCTATCCGCTTTTCATTTCTTCCTTGTCATCTCTCTTGACTTTGACTTTCCTTCCTCCTCGTATCCTGACTTTTGCCCTTGACCTTTCCCTTCATTATTCAGATCTCTCTTGGATCCGTCCCTTGACTTTTCCTTACACTGTTGTTTCCTTCATTATCGTATGTCTTATGCTGTTGCCTTTGACTTATCTCTCCACTTTTTCCCTCTTTCTCTTGCCCTCGGTTCCTTGATTTGCCTCTCTCTTTCGCCTCTATTGACTTTTCCTCAGACCCTTGGCTTCAATCCTTATCTCCATCCCTTACGGTTGACTTGACTTTTCGCCTCACTGCCCTTTTCCCTCAAACTCGTCCATGATTTTCGCTCATTTCTTCCGTAGCTCCCTCAAATCTCGCATAGGGAGACATTTCCTTGGTACCACCATGATCCCATCATCTTTCTCTATGTTTTTTATTTTTTCCATTTTTGGCAAGATTTTCCCGCCCCCTAGGCAAGCATACGTCGGAGCTTGGCTGGCGCGCCATGACCTTTTGGTGGCGCGCCGTGGCTAAGGCTTAGCACGCTTGGCTGGCTCACCATGACTTAGGCTTAGCCCTTTGGCTGGCGCGCCATGACTTAGGCTTAGCCATTTGGCTGGCGCACCATGACTTTGGCTTAGCCGTGCAGCTTAGTTAAGCCCGTATCTCGACGAAACGAGGTCTTGGAAATGTCCTGAGACCACGGTCGCGATCGCAGAGAAGAGGTCCTTCAGAAAGGTGTTTGCTCCCCTATAAGGAAATTTCCCACGGTCGGGTCGAAGCTGAGTCATGGTCCCGAGTATCCCAGGATCATATTCCTTGGTGGGCGCGCCTTCCGAAAATGTTGTCTTCCTCCTGCGCGCCACGGCTGCGCGCTGCGCGCCATGGCTTTGGCCGGGAGTGGGCCCCATCCTCCGTGGGTCAGAATATTAGGGTCCACACACAGTGGGAGTCCGGGACTCCCACATCTGATGCATGGGGATATCTGGAAAATTGAACCGAAGGGGTCCATATACAGTGGGAGTCCTAGTAGGCCATATCTGATACATGAAATGTTTTGAAAGTGAAGCTGAAATCGACCCTAGGCTGACCCTAGGAACCCCCATAGCACGAATTTGTGCGAACGTGGCTGTGGTCGCGGAATGTCTTTATGTCGTGATCTGACGGAGATATGGGCAAAACAAGCGCAGCAGGGACTCTTTTATGTCATACATTTTCGCACTCAGCAGGGACTCCCTGTAAACCGGAATAGGGGCAGGGATTTCCTTTTTCGAGCAGGGACTCCCCATATATGGTTAGTAGCAGGGACAGGGACGGCTACAGGGGTGTAAACCGGGAAACAGATAGATAGTTTTACAGATGACATGACATTAAAACTCGATTTAAATGTCAAGCTTTGGCAAAACTTCAAGTTTTCTCCAAAGTTTTATGTAAGAATCAAACTTTAAATTGAAGCAGACATGGAAAATCTGATTATATTTATTATATTTGTTGACATATTGTCTGTGGGAATATGGTTGTGAATATTTGATATTTTGGATGACACACAAAACACCACCAAAATTTGAAGTCGTGCACCCATCTTTATGTTAGTTTAAATATCAAATATTGTTTTCACATTTTGTACAACATATAAACCTCTTTTAAATATCGTTCACCCCGATGTGAGGTTGAGTGGAGAAAGGTTTAGTTGGCGCCTTTCGTGTAGACAAATCATTGTGATGTTGGCAAGCGTCAGAAAGTTGTCCTATTCGTGGTCAAGATGTTCCTACTTTTATTGTGAATGCCGTGACTTAGCCTAGTTAGGCCGCTTTGTTGGCTCAGGATTTGAAGTCGTTTGAAAGGAACCGAGTGATAACAGGGTACCAGAAACTGCTGGACGACGAACTGGCACTACAGTAAGCTGAAGCATGGCAATGTCGTTCAATAGCCCACCACCTTCCCTTCGATCTTCTATCTCTGCCTCCAACAATATGCATGTCCACAAATACGTCACGAACAAAGCACCGACCACTTACGTGATCAATTTATCCATGTAGGCCTCAATATCACTGACGGCACAGGGAATCGAAATATGTCTTAATCGGAGAAAGCTGATATTACATGGTGGACTTCGTTGTAGAAGGCTCGCGGCCGCCTGGAGTGTGACGTGTTTCAGGTGTACCACGCTTTCCGAATCGTAGTACCGGTCAATTTGGAACTGTCGGATCAGAAGTCTCACACCGGCAAGCTGCAGATCGTCCTGATCACCGCATGTCGGTAGCGACAAAACTCAGCAGGCGTCAATTCGTGAGAATGGCCTCGTTCATCGGAGCGCCGCATCATCATATCTCATACACTGGTAGACCCTGGTGGTCCGTGGCGGTAGCCTCGTTTACGCCTTGATGTTGTCGACAACGAGACTACTGCATTTGAAGGTGGGGAAAGCAGCCTTGGGCTACTTCAAAAGACCAAACGCCGATACGAATGCAACATTTTCTGTCGTCATTCAATGGACACTGGTGCTTTCGTTCCTGACAAGAGCGTCCGTAGGGCCGCTTACTTTCAGTAGGGTTCACCTGCTTCCACGATGTCGCTACAGCTGATCGAGATACAGAAAATTAAATGACATGCGTTATCCTCAAGCAGCGGATGGCACATATCGACGGTAAGTGTCCACGTTCCGCATACCTGTGACACGTCTGAAATTGAGCATAGAGCTCGAAGTCTATCATCTCAGTCCCTTGCTGCACTGCATGCAAAGTTTACCCCGCCAAGTGCCCAGTCCACGCTCGATAGTGATGCAATTGGACTCTCTGACTCTTCTAGCGATAAGTCATCTGAGTAGTAAGTAGTTTGACCGGAGCTCTCCGGTGCTTGTGCTGAAAACTTGCTTAGATAATTGCAGCAAATCCTCGAAGTTCCAGCATCGTGGAAAAGGGAGCAAATGATGAGCGATCTCGATTCTGAACGGTATACCAAAAGGTCGCATCACGACAACGAGTTTTTGGAGCAATACGATGGTGACATGGATATCGTCTTGATCTTTGTAAGTCGTAAGCTCGTGTGTTAACAACATGGTAATGACTAGTCTTTAGCCTGGCCTATTTTCCGGAGTGAATACGGTGTTCATCGCCACTATGGGGCCTAGTGACGCTACTACCACAGATGCTTTATTGACGCAAATCATCACGTTGATGGTAATGAACAGCCATGGAAACCCTGTCATAGATACTTATCCGCTTCCCGTACCACCTGCATATTCCAGCGGGCAAATATGGTTCCAGACACCAGCTTATGCCAGCCTTTCATTCAGCCTTCTTGCAGCATTCGGCGCCATTTTGGGCAAACAGTGGCTCCGCATCTACAAGCTTAAACGGTTCGGCTGTGGATCCCTCGAGGAGCAGGGCAAAAACAGACAACACAAATTTGACAGCCTCAAAGCGTGGCATTTGGATGCTGTGCTGCAAACCTTTTGGAAATTTCTATTCGGCATCTCTCTCTCGCATGGTCATGACTAATCCTGGCACATGATGGCGTTGGTGGTGAAAAGAAGCTCATCGAGGACATTATGAAAGTCGGCGGTGGTGCCATGTTCATCGATAAGGCCTATCAGCTGGTTAGCGCACAGGGCGGGTCTGGTACCGATGATCTGGAGTTCCTGTTAGCAGAGATGGAGAACCGCGTTGGAAGCCTTATTTTCATCCTTGCCGGCTACAGCGGTCAGAACGAGAAATTCTATGTAAACTCTTCCTCAGGAAGGGTGGCTACAAACGAGTGCGTGATTTTTCATATCCCTTCTTTACACCACCTCATGTCAGTCTCTGAAGCTTGCGGAGCGCACTATTCAGTTCGCTGATACCCTTACATTCCTTGGACGGGCCGGTCAGTGCACGAGTCTACCTTAGATGACGCCGGCTTCGATCAGACCTGGTACTCTACATTTTCTTCGTCTTTTCATGTAACTACCGACGTCGTGCGTAGGTTCTGCTTAATACCACCTAAAATTCTGCCACCCGTGGAATTATTATTCAAGATGGTGGATTTCATATCCATCGCACACCTCAGTGCGTTTTCACCGCCTGGAACTAGATATACATGTCTGGTCAACTAGAGACCAAGACTGATACATAATTGTCTGATACATAGAACACTAAGTTAGTTAATATGATATAAAAAGCAACGAACACTACATTATGAAGCGTAGATTAGTATCCTGAAAAGGCGGTGTTAATCTGAATCCACCACACTACAAACTATAAGTGCTTACGATGTAGTGCGAGCTCGACAGTTGAGGTTTCTGTTGATAATGATGCTTCAAAATGGCCCTAACAGACTTGAGCAGTTCTTGGTAACTTTGTACTGGCTTCGTTGCTGTGCACTAAGTCAGTCTCACGCAACAAGACATAGAACTCCCGACCAACTTAAAGATGTAACGAATGCCTGTCCGTGTCTGTCAGCTACAAAGAGGCGGAGAGATTTGAGTGAAATGTCGCTCACGTAGCTCATAGCCCCAACAGCCATGCCACCCTGCGTTGTGTCAGCACTGGTTTGATCATCACGACAACCAGCAAATGATATCTAGATAGAAACAAGCGGCAGAAGCACACAGCACATAACGGCAGGACGTCACTTACCACGTCAGCCTTTGTGGCCTTCTCTGCTTGAGCCTGACGAGCGATGTGGTTTCCCTTGAGGCGCCCATTCGAATGATACTGCAAGATTGTCAGTCCCAATACTGACTGAAGCAAGTATCGTGCTCACGATGTATGGCAAATCTGGCAGCCATGGACTTTCAGTCAGCTTTTATCATTACGAAATAACGTACTTACCCAGTGCCGTTCCGGAGTGACAAGACTACGGGAATCAATGAGATTTGTCAGATGGGCCGGCACATTATGAAACGACCTCACGTCAAAAACAGCCTGGATGGATGGGGTTCTATTAGTTCCGAACAGCAAGGGTTAGTCATCACTCACAGTCAGACGGCAGCCTGTTGGTAACGATTTGACCTGTGGAATCTATCAGATCAGTGCGTTTCTCCTATCGTGCGACAAGTGTACCATGATGCGGTGCATTTCCTGCATTGGAGTTATAAGCATAAACAGGTTGAAAATATAAAGTCCTCACGTCATCAACAATCATTCCGGCTTTCTTGTAGTCGACAGGGTATATGACTGTGCATGATGAAATCTAACGATGTTCTAAAGAAAAAGGAATGACCCTTTACCTTCATCAAGTCCATCAACTTCGTCCCCATCCTTATCCGGAACCTGTCCTCCGTGACCCGAGTCTAGACGACAATGAGGATATTCGGAAATTATATCCGAAGGTTCGAAAAGATGACCTACAGTGGAAAAATAGCGCATCATGAGGATGAGCGTCATTCACAAGCCAACGCATCGCATCGAGAATGTTTTTCCTTGTTGGCATTTGCCTCGAATTATCGGTGTCATCGACCAACATTACAATATCGCCATCTTTGTAGCCCCAATTGGCTAGGGCAAGGTATGAGCATCGACGCCGCAACGGTCGACGAACAAACGTACATGTTAAAAACCGCTTTACATTGTGTGCATCGTTGATACAGCCCCGGAGCTCGCGTCGTTGACCTTTGTAGTTGATTCCGATCTAAAGAAAGACTCGACTCGGATTTTCAATTAGTACTGTATCTTCACTCACGCACAGTGCTTTCTTCCGCCCGGTACATTTCGAATATTGGAAATGAACATGACCGTTATGATGCACGACCTGTTGGTGAACATGTGGCTGCACCTGCTGCTGAGGATGAATTATAGGCTTATGTGCACTACTTGCCGAGTTTCCGCGCGATCGGTGACCATGGCCTGAAGGACCTGAGTGTGGCGTTGGCGGACGTAGATGTTGTGAAGAACGTGAGCGGTGCAAATTTTGCGTACTACTTGCGGATGAAGGCTGTGTGGGTGGTGCGAAACGGAGCTGCTGCGAGGTGGTGCGACGAATGGTCTGAGTTGCGGTAGAAGTCGGATGAGAATGTTGGTGATGTCCGTGCCTGTGAGATTGACCTTGAGTGTGAGTGTGAGTGCGAGTGTGAATATCAGTGTGGTTATTTCTGGATGACGGTTGGACATTTGATAACTTTGAAACAAATTGCGGAACGGGCATGGGTGGAGGAGGTGTCAAACGACGAGACATTAACGGGTGAGGTGGATGTAAAGACATATAGGGAGACGGGGGCGGTCGCGTTGCATGCGGGATTGGTGGTGGAGGTGGGCGCCCGCGAGAAGGATAGCCCTCATGAATAAGCGAAGGGAGATTCTCACGTGAATACATGCTGTGAACAATGAAGTAATAAAGCGGCAATTTGAAATAAATATGATATGAACAGGAAATCTGATTTGAAGCTTACCGGGGACTGTGGGGGAAAATAATGTGAACTCGTCAACACCGTCACTGCAGAGAAGCTGAAATTTTTTTACTTTGGTGACGCTGATCGCGGAACTTCGGGCAGACCGAGCGGTACGAATGGCTTGGGGAACGGATCATGGGATCGATGAAGTTCTCTGTGATAATCATTCTTTATCAGTAACGACTTGCTGTATCGTGTAGATCGTTGCGTACGTCACTGGCGGAATTCCAGGGCTATAGGATCACCCTTGTCTATTGAGATCGATGGAGAACAAGCGTATGATAACTCACGATGGGATTGGAAATCTAGGATTTGGAGAACGTCGCCGATCTTGGGCGGTGTCGTTGCCGCGCAGATCCCACATCATTGTGTTGACTTGGGTATACGACTTGAAGCGCGGGAAGAAGAGGAATGCAGGACAGCCTGGCATGGCAGAGATCACGGTGAGCACATTGCAGCACTAAGCTTATATAGTCTTCATGAATGCTTGGGGGACTTACGGTGAGGAGGAAACCCAAGAAGACCTGGAGAGGGAGGTTTGACAGGGAAAGGGCCAACTCGGACAAAAGAGCATCTCAGCAAGAATAGTGCCTTTATTTGACCGGACTAGGCCAGCTGCCTAACCCCGCCAAGGACATCTCGTTTTGGAAGTCGCTCGGAGGTGCGCTCAGGGGCTGTGAGACCTGCGCACTGACTCGGATGGGAGTCACTCAGAATGCACTACCAGTCACCGAAATCAACCCAGTGCTGGCACTGCTGAGTAATGCAAGTACTAATGTCCTTGTTTGAAGGGCATTGTCGTTCAACGGCGATCTATATGATGATGAGTCACATGTCAATGAGATGAAATCATCAAACTAACGCTGCTACGCAGGATGCTCAGAAAAGTTAACTGAGTGTGCTCCAGAGTACGCAAGCTCGAGTGTTGTCACGACCTTGACAGATATCTTATAGCTGTCTGCTGCAGATCGGTCAGACTGCGGAAGACTGCGGGATCAGAAAATGCACTCCGGCCCTAAATTATGGTTTCCCAGCGTCTTTCTTCTTTCTGCAATGTTCCGCGACCGGTTACCATAATATTTATCGGGTGTACCTCTGCTCCTACTATGGCATCTGTTTGGGCTGGATATTCCTGCCGTTGTTCGCGTCGACAATTTGTACTCGCAGTCTGCTCAATTGCGCTGTTGAGTCTCTGTGATCGGCATGGCCGGCCATGAATGATTTTTCCACCCTGCAGTAGCCATCGACTTGTGATCTCGTAGTATGCTATACCAACAGCTTCTATTATGCGATGCGGGCTTAGCTAGCCTTTGTTCTATTTTTGGGCCTTCGAGTTACAGACTGGGCTGATGATGCATATCGACGAGTACTGCAAGAACTACACGACGACCATCGTTGGCTGTATATACGACGTGTAGGCAGTACATCTAGCCCACCGAAAAAACTCTTAAATTGACCCAATGTAGCACATGATAATCTGCTGCCGCGGTGCTGCGGCTGATAAATTTAACGGATAGGTTTGCCTTCTTTTGGTTGGTTCGGGCATACATGAACCTTCTAGCTGATTATATGATGAACCACGATTTAGCCAATTTCCTCTTCCTTTCCGACTTCGTCTCCATTCGCCTCGGTTTACTGAGCGCCGGCTTCATTTCCCCCAGAAAATTCTGTTTTACGCATGTCCATAACGCCGAAGGCTGTTCTCCATGCTATCTGTCGCATCGTTCTCGCCGTTATTCGCATTCCTGGTCTTGTCTCGCTCTGCATTCTTATAACCCTTTACACCATAACTGAGCAACGGTTTTCTGACAAGTTTTTTGCAGAAAACTATACATGGCAACCTGCTTTTCCTTCAAGTTGGAGATTCATCCTCCTCCTCATCCTCGTCGTACCCACTTTTGCCTTCATCCAGATACTCCGTCTCTTGGCCTATCGATTTCTACTTCCCCTGTTAATCGGTCGATGGAATAAGACTTTTGGAGCCGGGGACCCTTCCGACGAAGGGTACATTATGTTCTATCGAGATAGCTCTATCGGCGGACGTGAACTTTTTAACCCCGAGGAAGAAATTGCGCTCATGGAAAGCTCGGAAGAAGGTGCTAGTGTGCGCTCATCCTCTAGACCAACGTCTCCTACTCCGCGTCTGGCGCCCCATCCCAAACTGTGGAAGATAAAGCTTTTCGCATATTTCGTCCTGCTTTGTGTGAGCACATGGGTCGGAGTCCATTACGAGCAGCCTGGCGATGTACGCTACAGAGATTCTATTCAGGAGGCTGTTGCACACCCTCGAAAACAAGGCTACGGAAAGCAAGGTGAGCTCCTCCAAACTCATAAAATCGAACGCAGCTTCAAGTTATCCCGCTCCAGAGAAAATCTTCATTGCTGCGATGTTCTACAATAACGAATATGTCATCCCATACTGGCACGATACCCTTATCAAAGTCATTCACTATCTTGGTCCAGATAACGTCTTCGTCTCTATCGTTGAGAGTCACAGTACCGATGAATCTCCGCAGCTCCTTGACGCACTAGATGCGGACCTGGCGCTTTTGGGTGTGTCACGGCGCATACTCACGAGAGATAAAGCAGTACCAAAGCCCGACGATATGCGCGGAAACAACCGCATTGAATTCCTAGCCGCTACACGTAATCGCGTAATCGAGCCCCTGATAGTAGGAGGGTATGATAGGGTTGTATTCTCAAATGACATATTTATCGAGCCCGAGAGCTTCGTCGAGTTGTTGGAAACGAACAGCGGGGATTACGACATGGCATGTGGCCTAGACATGGGACATTTTGGGTAAGTAACATCTCACTGCTACGACACATCCGTAATTCTAATCGTGGTAAAAGTGCATATGATATGTGGGTTCTTCGAGATCGACAGGCAAAACTAGCTAGTGCAATGTGAGTCGCGAATTCTATCTTCACTACGTCTAATTCAGTTTGTTTGACATCTAGCTGGCCATATTTCTTCGACGAAGCTGATTATAAAGCAATGCATACCGAGTCTCCTGTGCCCGTATTCACCTGCTGGAACGGCATCGTTGTCTTCACTGCAGATCCTCTTCTCCCAATAGCCTTGCGGTCCAACCGCACGCTTTCCAATGATCCTCTGCCATACGAATTACCAGCAACACACCCAGCAGCACACAATGCCTCGATGCAGGGTCCGAGTCCTGCTCTGACACCCCCAATACGATTCCGTGCATCTGCGCCAGAGGAATGTTTTTCGTCAGAAAGTTTCCTACTCCCATATGATATGAGACGACAGTTCAATCTGCAGAACATATATCTGAACCCAAGGGTAATCAACGCTTACGACTGGAGGTTTGTCGCATGCTACATTATCAGGATATTGGCTGATGTATCATGTCAGGTTTTATTTCTACTTCAAGTGGCTTATGCGCCACCCCGTGCTCCAATGGTGGATCGAAAAGGTGTATGATGGTGCATGGATGGCAAGATCTGTGCTTGTCGTGGGCGATGCAGATAAGGTTTCCTGGTGGGACGGTGGAGACTGTCATCCATGGTGGTAGGTGGACTCAGTCATGGGATTTTGAGATTTTAGGGCAACAAGTCATGGGACGATATGGGATTGCCCGTTTATGACTTCTATAATACCAAAGTATTCGCTCGTGCATAAATCAGCCAGGCAGGTACTACTACGATTATTTATATCTGTTTGCCCTTTAGATTCACGCATTATGTAATATACACGAGTCTTATATTCGACGACTGGTCTACATGGTTGCCTTGAAGGTCTAATCAAGACGGATCACGGTAACAACGCTGGGTATGTAAATTTTTGCAGCTCTACGCAATGCATCAGCGCTGTAAGTACGTACCATATCTATTGTGATGCGATTGCCAAGTTGACTGATAACTACGTGACAGTTCACAGGATCACTGTCGTTATGCCACCATTGTCAAAGGCTTGTAGTATTCGATAAGCGTCCGTTTCAAGTCCCTGGTCCCTAACTATGGTGGCCACTGGCCCTCGCGCAAATATGATGGCTCTAGTCGTGCACCTTGTACTTTGTATTGTTTACAACGACAAGCTCTTCGCCCACATTGCCGTTAGCCAACTCGTACGAGTGGGACGCTCCGTATCTATCGATCTTGACGTGAGAGCAAAATAGATCGCTTGCATCAAGTTATAAAGCTCGCAATGAAACCATCACTGATCCTGCATCGTCCAGTTACTCTTTTGATTCGTTCCAATTCCGCCATGCCACCCAAGACCGCCGAAACCGCTCCCCATCCCCTCCCTGCCGCGCGCGACCTTCGTCAGGATCACCGTGACCACATAATCACATGCAAACGTCGATGGATGTCTGTTTCATGGGAGCTGCAGAGGATCCAACAAGAAGAAAATACATTGGAGGGCCAGCTCTCGAGGTGCCCTCGATCTTCTGGAGCACCATATTTGAACCAGCACATCTCAGAAGCTTCTTTTTATATTCCGATATACGCACAACCTAGTCCACTATCTCCCGGGAGAAAGCGGGCATTATTGGTGAGTGATACATAGTAGATTTGTAAATCAACGATATCTCTAAAACTGTGTAAGATTGGAATTAATTACAAAGGTCAACGCTGTGAACTAAGAGGGTGCAACAATGACATCCATAATATCTTACCATGCCTTATTAGTACGTGCAGTTGTTGGCAATTCAACGATGACTCTTATGACTCCCTTTCAGATCAATGGGGATACCATCCCAGAGATATTGTACAATTAATTGATGATGGTTATCGCCCCCCACCAACTAGGCAAAATATCTTACTTGAAATGCATCGCTTGGCATCTTATTCAAGGGCCGGTGATTCCATGTTCTTTTATTGTACGTACTGTCCTTGATGGCGTTGTTGGTGAATTCTGAATCACGCGGTTGCTTACACAGTTTCGGGGCATGGAGGCCAAGTCCGCGACCTAGATGGCGACGAAGTTGATGGTTATGATGAATGTAAGATCAAAGCCTGATTATAAAAATTACGTTGACATTCGCAAAGTCATATGTCCAGTCGACTATCAACAGTCGGGTGTGATCAACGACGATGTCAGATGTTTACCCTCTTAATCAAAGGATAACGCTGATTAGCTCTTTAGGAAATACATGAAATCATGGTCAGTATCATGACGCAAAGAACACCTCATATTTCACATGGTATTTCAAATACGTCGCTGATAGAACGCACGCAGGTTAAGCCACTGGCAGCTGGCTCACGGTTGACGGTACGGAGAGTAATCGATGACGCGAAATCACTAAATAACTCAGCTTTACAGGCGCTTTTCGACGTAAGCAGGTTCCTTGATACCGTAACTCGAAGTACTGAGTGACTCCAGTCGTGCCATTCCGGCACGGTGCTTGGTGAGCTCTAGATCAACTTCATCGCTGCCGAATTCTGAATGATAGATAGATTTGCCTTATCTTGTGGGAGAAGCAGTTTCCTCTGTGATTTTGTCTGATCGTCTCCATAGTATGACTCTAGACAATGCACGTTCGTCGATGGCGTCACGCCAGGTGCTCGCATTAGGAAGCACTCCCAGGCACAAGTTGTGAGCATCGGTTTCTGCGAGTCGATCGTGCTTCTCAGGCAACATCGGACAGGTTTGTTTCTCGGGTTGTGAGGATTTCGAAGAGAGTGAAAGCATCACAATGCCTGGTCGACCTATTGGTGGACTCATGACCTTTGTGCGTAAAACTACCAAAACATCAGTTCCTTCTCATCTTCCCTTGAAGGCTTTCATACATGTTTTCTGTCCGTGTCAAACTTCCATTGCTCGCCCAACTGGCTGACATTTGAAATTTGCTCAGCTTGCACGCAGGCTCTTACTTTCCAAAACAGATTTGAACAAATACGCGCGTTCGTCCGTGAAATCTTACCGGACGCTAGACAACACCCTCAGTTTTCCTGCTCGAATCCTCTCGTTTGTCAACGTATTCTTATCCAGACTATAGCCACTGATATTGCACAGGATATAACGTTGCCTTTCTATATCTGAACGCTCGGAAATCGGATTGGGTTGTAATATATGTTAACATGATCGTGCGTATTTGATCTTGTTGACACCGTTCCGTTATGAGCCGCTCGTAAGTACGAAATGATTGGGTCCAATTGCTGAGGACAGTGCTCATCGATCAACAAAGAACCCGGGGTTGGTCTCCCCGAAGCCTGGATGCGGTTCACATGTCCTTCATCTAACATTTACACAGCGATGATTGGCCAGATTGGCACAAGTCACGCTACTTCTGTATCTTATCGCGCCTCTTCGGTCGCGAGAGTGATTATTGTCCGTTATTTCATCGCAAGCCCCATATAATCTCCGTACCGTTTTGCAAAGTCAGCGCTTCGCCTTCCTCCTATCCGTCTTTTTTGCGATGCACCTGTCAAACGAAGCTTGCCGAGACTGGTATATATCACCTAGTGATAGTGTGTTGTAGTCAAATTGACAGAATCATCTAGCGCTATGAGGGCGGGAGCTTGATAATCTTTACTCATAAAACGCAAGGGTAGATTCTCAAGGGTTTCACTAGCTACTTGCCCACGCACTCTGAAGCGTAGATAGTAGTCATAAATTACCCTCATCGATAAGCGCGTATGTCTGTCCCTCCTTCCAAGCTCGCTTCGTATGTTTACCTCCTGATCGTCATGTCCTCGCTAACGTAGTCCCATGGCTTAAACAGTCGCCGAAACAAGGGGTAATGTGACCGTCAATGCATGATGTGCCTGCCTAGTATTGACTCGTTTCAAAAGGCTAGACAGATCAAGGAGTTCATACACTTCGTCCATCCCTGCAGTCGTTCCTGTGAGGCGATCGCCATCTCCGAAGTAAGTAAGCTCATTCAACTTCACGTGATCAAGTCGTGTTAAGTTCACATCGTTTACCAGACCAGCGGCTACCAAAACGCGCCGAGCGCTAATACGCCAATATCCTCTCCCGACGTCCTCCAGTGCACATGCGCCCCTTCCTCCATCAGTGCCTTCCTATGGTTTGAAGTACAACGGGAGGATTACGCCAGATGCTCGGCCAGTACAACATGGTTCTGTGACTTCGCGGCTTCACCGCTCACGGACGCAATCGACTCAATCTCTTCAGCAGCAGACAGGAGAGAGTACAGAGCTATCGAGACAGCATATACACTCACCCTATAGTGCTGCGCGACGACCTGTCGTCGCAAAGTGCAACTGTGACCTGTGTGATCAACTTGAAATGGAGATTCCACAGACAATTAAAGTGTTACCTCCACGTGCGAGGAAGAAGAAGGCGTTATGCGTGAGTCCTTTCAAGTTTGTCCTTGCATGGCTTATCTTCGTGTAGATCGGCATAAACTACAAAAGCCAGGATAGAGAGCTTCGTGGCTGTGTGAATGATGCTTGGAACATTGCAGAGTTTCTAAAATGTCTGTCCATTTCCATTTCCATTTCCTCTTATTCACTCAGTATTGAGCGACACAACCATGTAACAGCCTTCTGGAATTACGCGAAAGAGGACATCATGGTACTCACAGATGAGCCATACAATCTGAAATACATGCCGACGAGACGGAACATCCTTAGCGCGTTGCGATGGTTAGTGAAAGACGCCCAGCCTGGAGATTGCTTATTCTTTCACTGTGAGTCACGTATCCGTAATTTGAACAAGCGATTGATGATGTATCTAGACTCTGGACATGGAGGACGAATCGTCGACTTGGATGGTCGCCGTGTGGATGGTCACCGTGTAGATGGTTTTGAAAAGGGTGACAAGTTGCGATAGTTTCAACTTTGAGAAATGCTGATCCGCAAGCAAGCTATCCACCCAATTGACTGGGAACGCGCTGGTGAGATTGTGAGCGAGGTGCGTTTGTATACTTGTTTACTTTGATTATATGCGATGTCAATCCTCAAACAGGACTTATACGACGTGATGGCAAGTACTGGGAACGCGAACTGTGAGGTTGATACTAACTTTGCACACAGGTCAAACCCCTACCCACTGGCTGCTGCCTTAATGTGAGTCTGTGAACGGCTTTGTGAATGGCTTTGTGTCAACCAATTTCAAAATTTTATCAACAGGCGTTGTTTGATGTAAGTTTAATTGCCAATCTTCAAGTTGAACAGATTGTATCATGATTACTAGTCATGTTATTCTGGATCCGTCCTTGGTATGAAGCTGTTATATTACTATGTTGTGATTCTTTGTTGATCTGTCTCGTGCAAAGATTTGCCATACATCGTCAGTCCAAAGATGCGAATTGATGTATTCGCGACTGTCTAATCAATTTGCTCAGTATCAACCCAGTGATCACCTAAGACAGCACGTTGCGAACTCTCGAGCTCTTACAAAGTACCCCCAAGCTCATGTGGTAAGTAAAATACGCTCCTCAACTCGAAGTCTGTTTGACGATCAGATATTAGGTATTATTTGCAAGCTGTAGCGACTTCCAAGGTAGCGGGGGCGTTATCATAAGGGGTGGAGAGTTTCTTGGAGCCATGTCCTCTGTGCGTAGTAATTAACAATTCGCTCGTATTATTCTGATCAAATAGTGACTATCAGGCCTTCATCTCGTCCCTTAGTGAGTACTATTCTAGTAATGACAGTCATGCGACTTACTGGCATTAGCGACCAACCCATCCCAGACATATCTGCAGGTACTTGCGTCTGTGCAGGTTATTTTACGTCGGACTCAGAGGCAGACGCCGCAGCTGTCGAGTTCGTATCCCATTGTACGTCAATCCCATACTTTCTCACATTCACTAACGCTGTGAAAACTTCATCAGGATTCCAGTCAACAATGCCTCTTCTAATTTAGTTTTTCCTTCTACGATTTGTACATACAACAGGGAAGTTCTGTGAGTAGAAACCTTGCCGTACCCCCATATCGAAGACCGCAACACAATCAGCAGAATTGACACCTTATTCAAATTCTACTGTACAGATGCGATCTATTAGTTGACACCACATAGATGATGTACTCACAGACTTCCTGACATACTGAGTCGCCCCATCCTGGTATGAGAGGATATAGTAGATTGACAGACGACAAATATTTAGAGTCCCGCTACTAGAAGAACTTATATCCGAACTTTATACTGCGAGAGAAGGAAACTTTGTTCCGGTCCACTAATCACAAATATACACATAGTGGTACGCCACGAAGTACCATGATCATCCTATTTGCATTTTCATTTCTTCGTAATCCCCTCAGAATGTGGCAAACATTTGGTTTAAATCTCGAGGTTCTCGCCACATCCTCATTTTTTCCCCAGTGAGTGGAGTAGTATTTGGGTCCCTTTACTCCTGGAAAATTGTACATGTAGTAAGTAACATGTAGCGCGACTCAATCACGATTGGGAAATTCCGTGAAATGAATACACGTATGTGGGCGAAACCACTGAGGACTTGGAGCTAAGACATTAAGACACAGAACAACCCCGGGCCAAATATGATAAATTTAAAGAGCCTTGCAACAAATCAGATTTTAAGACGCAAATGATGATCTAAAAATCTGTTTATGTAGAAATCAGGGTTCAGAACAGGCCCGCGTGGAGTTGTGGTGACTCTGTTTACTTTTCGTGAACGAACGAAGAGCAAGATATCATATAGTTGGAGACGTAGAATTTGGATTTACAAGGACTGCGCTTGTTATTGTTTTAGATGGAACGATCCAGTTAAGGATCGTCCCGGAGACTGCTGGAACAGCTTACCTTGCGCGTCTCAAATAGCAGACGTGTACGCCTGTTTATGATTCTATACTCGTTTGTTGAGATATGGGGATACTAGTTAATTGAATACCTGTGCATCAAGCACAAGAACCGAATGTTTGGTTATGAGTGAGCTGTCTGGTGTTACAAAGACTACATGCGTTGTGTCTGTAGTAGACGCCAGGTCACAGAATAAAATAGTCCAGGAGCAAATAGGGAAATTTGAATTTCCGAATTGCAAAGAGTGGAGCGCTGCGAAGAAATTAACCGAGAGACGGTTCAATTCATGCGACAGAACTCACACAACTCTGCCAGATCGAGAATCGTCCCCATAAGTGTGTGTGCAGGATATAAAAGCTGGTTTTCGTCCTACAGTGTTTCCGCATCCTCCGAAACATCATTTGAGATCTCTCTCAGAAGATTCCATATCATCTCGCACATAGATGCTTTCTCCCTCCTTGCTGTTGTTATCTCTTTGACAACATCTATGTTTGTTAGCGCATGTACGAGCGAGTGGGAACATTGCAAACGGACACCAGATTGCTGCGAGCCCTTGTATTGTGATGTTGGGGTGAGTATGGGCAGGTCACTGTGCAACCAGGATTCAATGACTCACCTGCTCGCCTTAGAGTATCTGCAGGTCAGGGGTGGCGGAGTGAAAATTGAGTCGGTAGCCCGAGCGGCATGTCACGTCAGTGGGTCATTTTCCTGCTTCCGCTTTGGTATCATGCTTGAGGGTGCAATATCTAGTTCGCAGTGACACAGTTAATCAGTACAATTGTTTTTGAACGAATTTTCGTGCTGCTCGAGCAATATTAATGTAGATGATCCAGATGAATTTTACGAACAAAAAATCTCAGAAGTAGGACAGACAGACAAGATGGTGAAAGGAAAGATAGATAGATAGATAGATAGATAGATATACTTACATAAATAATCTGACCACAAGGCAGAGCCTGCAATGGAGAGGAAATTTAAGATGCCCGAATGATGGTGGCATCATGCGTATGAGCTCAGCTTCTCGAACCTCCGCCTGGAACACGACAGCGCATTGCTCCGACACTCGGGGTTGATTATTTTGATGCAACGATTGTACCAGACGAAATTGCAGATGTCTTCGTAGCAGGAGCGAGCGCTGTATGTAGATATCGACATAAGACACATTATACAAGATAAATATACCGTGAATAAGAAAGACGGTATAACTTATGAGATGCAACAGTCCGCGACAAAGACTCGATGGGGCTTACAGAAAACTTCCACTGCGCCCACTACCAAAATGCTCTCCTTTGACATCCCGATCGACGAACAGTCAAACTTTCAAAGGACACGTACTGTGCGCTCCTGTGATGAAAAGAGCAGACCTTCAATATTCAATGTATGATAGTTCCCCGTCTGGTTGTCATGCGCTGAAGGCAAAGTGGCCATGATTTTGACCTACAAGAATTGCACAAAAATATTGTAACTCTATTCCTCCGCTCGTGTCTCGTTATTACGTAATAGAGTAAATTGTACTCGCTTGTACCGGTGCTCTCCGATTGAATCTGCTCGTGTTGGAGGTACCACTCAATCTTATAGCATTTGTTTCACTTGCTGAGTTCCCTCGTATTCTAGCCTATTACATCTTTGTTTCTCGCCTTAGCGAACAACATGCAGACACTCCACTCAGAATTCAATATCTCTGGCTCTGTTTCAGATATCATCGGTGCACTACAAACCAACGTAAGTGCCAAGTTTCTTGAATTAGAATTCATGTCCGCCGAGAATAACAATCATCCATTCCAGCTCGCACGCTCGCAAGTGATTGTACGTCTGCTCCTTGGTCTATTTCGACATATCACATGTCATTTTACTGACGATAACTAGATTCCAGTCTTTGAAACTCCATACTCCAGATTCCCCAATACAGACCACTCTACCGTCAAGCTCGAACGCCAGAGCGTTGTCAACATCATCGCTCAGCGCCAGCAGCAATTGGATACAGTTCTGTACGAGCTCTCGGCGCTGGAGGCCGTGATAGATAGCGTTGTCAGCATCATCGCTGAGCGCCGGCAGAAATTGGATGCAGTTCTGGACGAGATCTCAGCTCTGGAAGCCGTAATGGATAGCTTCAGAAATCTTTATCAGCAAGTCGTCGAAAAGAAGGAGAAGATTATGCAGTCGATGAATTTGCACAAGGGACTCCTATCGGTTCTCTGGCGCCTGCCAACGGAAGTCCTATCCCAAATATTTAACCACTGTCTCCCCGAAACTAAATTGTGGCCCCCATCAAACCTCAGAGCCCCCATGCTGTTAACAAGGATATGCCAACGATGGAGGGAGGTTGCTGTGGGTACACCTGATTTATGGTGCAGGTTGTATATGGAAGCCGACGACAGAGGCTGGGAGCAGGCAGCTTTCTGCTACGACTTGTGGCTCAAGCGTTCACGAGGACGTCCGCTCTCGTTAGAACTCGGGTACCACTACTCGACCAAACTACGAAGTCTTCTTCAGCCCCATATGAGTCGTATAAAATTTCTTCGAGTCTCTATCGATTACTTCCGGGATAGGCGCCCTCAGCTGTTTGCTACTGACCTCCCAGCACTTCAGGAGTTGACCATACTACGGATGACAAATCATGATATTCCAACTACTGCACAATCCATCTCGCGCCTACCGTCCACTATGCGCAGTCTCAAGTTCATTGACATGAGACCGTTTTTCGACATCGAGCCCTTGTCTTCTTTCGGACCCATATGGGCTTGCTTGACGGATGTCCAGATCGCCGTATGTCACCCGAACGCATTCCTCCATTTGCTTCAGCTATGTCCCAACCTCTCTTCCTTAAATGTCCACATAGGATTTGACCAAAGAGAACCCATGGAATCATTCATGCACACAAAATTACAATCCTTATGCATCCTTCATGACCCTTTGTTCACGCGCCCTTTATCTGACCTGTTCGATGCTCTATCACTCCCCAATTTGCGCGCGCTTGAAGCTCGCCGCAATGGCCGCATTGAATCTTATTGGTCTCATGAGGATGTGAAGGCATGGTTGGCACGGTTAAAGTGTCCCCTGGAGACCCTGACTATCGGCGGTCGAGTGACGAATCTGACGATAACAGATGCGCAGCGAGCGGACTATGTTTCCCTCATTCCTTCCCTCAAAGTAGTGAATCACGGTAGTATATACCTTTGATAATCTTGGGTAACCGCATCCATGAAGTACTATATTATTCACTGTGATGCCACTGTAATTCTTACACAAAAACATGTACTATGGTATGTCTTAATCATGAATTATGTCGACCTTGGTGGACGACGTAGACATCTAACATATATAAGCACAGAGTGTTTGATCCTGCAGAACTAATTCGTGTCTACCCTACGTGCGTGCTCTAGCTGAGCGCTACTTGCTTCACAATTGCTCCCAATCTTCGTATCTTCTTCTCCTTTTGAATCCCAGCCGCACATCTCTCTCCTAAGTTTTCTCCTATTCGTCTACCATCATGGCCTCTGTGTGCTCTTTTCACGGCATGGTAGCCTTGTATATGATAAAAAAAATGAATCATGTGCCAGACATACAAGTTAGGTATAATTTTGCACCTCATCTTCTCTTCCGATATTATCAGCAGGTAATGCCGCAGATTTGGATGGGAGAACCACATCCATCTCGCTGGCTTCAACGTAGATTTCTCCTTCAGTGTGTCCTCTCCTCCATTGGACACGACTGAGTTCCGCATGGTTGAGCAACCATGCCGGATCGACATGGTAAGTTGCAGCCAAGCACCGGATGCTTAGCATCGCGCGACAGATAGAGACAACCGTAGCTGCCATTGCTATTCTGGATGATATATGTTGCTCGTGAACTTTAGTAGACGACCATGAACGGAACAATCTTACTCTCCCATATCAGTTGAATCATGGTAAATCTAACAACGGTTACGAGTTTTTCGTGCAGCTTTGACCATAAAACTTACGTATATGTCCTCTGGTGTCATCAGAGAAAGACTGATGATTTCGTACAGTAGCGATCCTGTTATTTGCTTGAGCACCTGCTAAATGAAAGGAATCGAGATATATTCACCGGCTGCAAATGAATACAAGAACATTCCCCTAAGTAAATATTAGTCTTAGTAGTAGAACTTGTGATCGATGAGGGGCTCACTCTTTGACGAATCGGTGGATCATCCCGTGTTGCTGCAAGGTTCTGGGGGTAACGCGAAAGCGATACAGCGTAAGTAAGAACATAGTCGTATGGACGACCAAGGCTGGCACATAGATGATGAATGTAAATGTAAGGCGTGCCGAGCTTGACTTGCTGTTCATGTTCACGACACTCTTGAATGTGTTATACACGACGGCGCCAAATATTGCAGCTCCTACCAAGCAAACGATGAAAATAGTGACCACCAACCATCTGATGAAGCGACTCCGAGGGAATAGATGCCATACTCGCAATGTTATAACACCTGTATACCAGTCGATTCAGTGGGATCGATCAATGTGCAAGGGACAGACATTGGCATAGAATCATGACTGTTGCTTTAACAGCGTATTCAATTATAGCAAACCTACGTCAATCTGTAAGTTGGTCTGTTGCCTTGTCATATGAAACAGCTCACCCCTGTTAAACGATGCATGTAAGACCCCAATGACGATATGCGCAGCTCAAAAACTCACAAAATAGTTGTGAGCCTTGGCTACTTTTGTTTGTGTCAGAGCAGTAAAACTAAACAATATAATCATTTCTAGTGCATTTATTATTATTAAATGGAGTCACACACCAAACTTGCACGAGAGCCAAGTATCGGATCTGTCGAACCTAAAATTAGTCACTAAGAACAATATGATTCGTAACAGCATTACGATGAAATACAGTATTTTTGACGGTGACCATGAACTGGACCAAAAGAAAGTCACCTAAAATAAACGATGGCGGTGAATCAGGGTTAGACTGTCATCGACCGTGAAGACGAAAATACTTCTTGAGCGAATGTGATAGCATGATCGTACACCACAAGAGTGAATGATACAAAGGTAAGAGTCAATTGCTGAACAGCAACGCCCGCTGACTGCACCTGTATGGACATAACAAAGTATGGGCGCCCTCGAGTGTTGACAACGTTGAAATCTGAGGGCTCACAGTATCCTGTGGGTTGGATCAATAAAAGCTTATTAGTGTTATATACTATACATCCACCGTGATGAACAGGAGGCGAAGCTGATGGATGGCACTTACTAGTCACAGCTGTACTAGGGATGATGCATCAAGCCAGTTACAGATAATGGCATCATCAATCCTGTCCATTCATCATATCTCTGGCAGTTCTGTGCCGGAGTTCCTCTCTGCTTCTATTCGGTATGATGGTAGTGCCCTGTTCATCAGAAGGCGCCACTAAATATTGAAGACGAAGACATATTCCAAATAAGCCGAACACAGAGGGAGTAACAACGTCACGTGTGTTCGACGAGTGCAGTTTGAAGAAACGAATAGCCTTAGGCCGAGCGTTAGATAATCAGGACCTCAATTGATGAGGGGCCTACTCTTTTGAGAATCGATAAATAACCCCATATCCCTGCAAGGCTCCTGGGCTGACGTGAAAACGATACAGTTCGAGTAAGAACACGGTCGAATGGACGACCAAGGGTAGCAAGTACATGACGGGTATATATGCAGATGTCTACTTCGAGCTCTCAGCGGTCGCCAGGTCATACATGATGACACTCATGACATCAAGGGAGAGGCTGCCAGCCATCTCAGTTCCTGTCGTGCAAATGACAAGAACATTAATCGTGTGTGACAGCTCACTTCTGAAGAGCCGTGAGTGAGACCCAATCAAACGATCGCGCAGCTTGAGAAGTACGCACAGCAGCACCATGACTGAAAGTATGTCCTGGTATTGTAATTCAATCAGTCACCACAGCACGACAAAAATGTTCGAGCCGACTGACCATAAAAGATGAAACTAATCAGACTTGTTAACTAATGCGGGTTTAAAGAATGACGTCAAAACGCACCAAACTCGTCTCAGAGCGAAGTATCAGATCTATCAACCCCAAGGTGAAACCACTAACAATGTGATTTTATATAACGCAGAATTATAATTACCATAAGATACAAGGACTCTTGAGCTGACATGTCCCAGAAAGACCCTTTGCTGAATTGCATCGAGGAAGGGCGGATTGAAGTTATATACCACATATCCATCATAATGAAGGGGAGGAGAAGCTGATGGCATTGCATCCCAAACACGCCTGGCCTGCTCAGAAAAGAGACAGAAAAGATGACGTGAATCTTACATCGAATCATATATTGGCAGCATCGACTGATGGGTCTTTTGGGGTGCGTTATGTTAATTGCGGGGCCTTTACGTCGTAATGAAAAGTACAGGACATGTTCTGCATATATTGTCATGTAGTGGTACACTATAAGACTATGACTTTCTTACCAGTCCTCTGATGCACTGTGCTGAGTCACCACTGAATGTTCACCGCATCGATATGATCATCAACCAAAGGTCTAAGACAGAGGACCAAGATCTTTGAGAATCACTAATGCAGTAGCTGTGTCAGGAAACACAGGAGTCTGGCATATATGTACTAGTACACTCGCCTTGTCATCAACCATCTACTAATAGAAGCCATCAGTAGAAATCACTCGACATAGCACACTCCCACACTCGAACCGCAAGCTAAAAATGTAGTTAAAACTTCAAGTTGAAACAAGGAGTGAATCACGCACTAGGCCGCATAGCTTATCATGATGGTGATACGGCAACTCGCCGGTACTCATTTAGACCGGCGAAACGGTCTCCATCGCTTGAACTTTGCACGAATCCGGAGTTGCTGTGCAAGCAATAATAATCATGGGTGTTCTGCATTGTTGGCCCGATGTTCTAGCTCGACGCCAGTCCAGCCTTTGCGGCGATTTCCTTTGTTCCATGGGACCGGCTCATGATAACGCTTGCAAGTTAAGCTTCGATATCGTAAATGCATGTCAGCGGCAATCAGGAAGATAGAAAGGCAACGTGTGGACCAGTCCAACACGTATTAATCGATGACGCATGATACATGTCACCTGCCTTAAGTTGAGCCAATTAACACGCATCATGCGTCATCGATTAGTATCAGCTTCAATAACTTGAGCCTGAACCTCATCATGAGTCAGCATGCATGACGGATGCGACAACGCGGTCGACCTCGGTAGAGCGAAGGAATTGTATGTATATTTCATCCAGATTCCAGGTTGAGTATACAGCTGAAAAGTTTTTGAGACCAAGAATTCAAGGAAAAGGAATTTCTTTCGAGGTATTGGTGAAAGGCCGTTGAGACGGATAACACGGCAGTGCGCTGCAACTTGTTGAAATAGGGTTCCGAGACGCGTGCGCGATGGTGATGTTCTCATCTAACCTTGCGGCAGGCTTGACTCGGAACCTTACTGGATTGACACTGGATATAACGCGTGTGACAATCCTTGGGTTAGTCTCTCACACATTGTTGTCTACTACTCTAGCAAAAGTCATTTACTTGAGTCAACGACAATATTTTGTGTGGCGTTATCGTCTTCTGTTTGAGTAATTGCGAGTTACCTTCCAACCACCCATTCTTCAAATCCTTCTGCACCTCAACCCAGTGCAACAAGGGCAAGATAGAGGTACAGCTCATCCTCTGGGCTACTCACGCAAGCATGATTACTCGTCGATCCCGAATGGATATTTCACAAGTACGTCTACCAGCCTTGCTCACACACATCCGCTTCAACACCAGTACAAGTGCTAATCTGTAAATGAACCGTATATATGACGGACACTTGCAGCATGGTTTCATCTCTCATAGAAGTTTTCAAGTATCCGAGTCAATACCTTCCTAAGGCCCCAGTAATATCTATTTGATTTCTTCCTTGTGGAACTTTGCCGAAACCCTCAGGTCTAACTTAGAGTGTCACTGACAACACCTCAACTCCTCTGCAAATATCTTCACCCCGTCACCGCCGCTTTGCTACGCTATACATCTTGTCTGTCTACAGGTCTCTAACCATTGCAATTGTAGATGCCTGCGCTCCTATAAACGGCTGAACAGATAGATAGTGAGTCATCAGCCGTACGAGCCAGTAACAAGCCGACGACATTGGTGAAGAACGCGGCTCTACTGCCCCCTATATTTTAGAATGATGCTGGCCATTTATTGTTATATCAACAACCTCGATAGTGCCGTCGAGGGGACAAGTGACATGCGTATAGAGTTGTAGAGCGAATCTGACAGCCGTTCGGTGAGTGACTGCTTCTTACCATTCTGCCCTCGCGTTTTGTTTTTTATTTATTTTTGCACTCGATTTTTTTCTTCTAGCTACTCCTTGTATCTTCTTATTTCTGCTTGTCCTCTTGAGCTGCCTCGCGCACTTTCTTCTACCTGAGTCGAAATTTGACATCGCTGCTCAAGACTAAATGAAGGGACTGATAAGTAATTGCAGCATATTACATATTATATTCTTTGATATCATGGCGAACTGGCTAATCAAATCCAAGTAGTTCAACATCCAAGCGCGCCGCATCACACCGAATCCTTGTGACTCGCCAGCCAGCCAGCCTGTCAAAAATCATGTTCAGCGAATTGCCAGAATAAAGAACAATACGCTCACGTCAAAGATACTGTTGTGGTGCTGCCAGTCACATAGATGAACAGGACGATTCTTGTCCTCTACGTGCTCAGCAACAGCAGCCGACACCAGAGAAATTTCTATGGGAATAACTGTGCGAGAAGCGGCACAGTGTTGTGGTACCTGAGTCACATCCAGCCCTCCCTCAGCCCCGGCAAGCTCTGAGCCAGTAGCATCCACAAGCCTTCCAACGAACTCCCCCTTGATGTGAGCGAGGGTCTGGTCGAACGAAGATTCTCCACCTCGGTTTGATTTGATGATGCTCTCGATCAATTCGGGAGGAATTGGAATCATCCCGCGAACTACAGATCCCGCCTCACGACGCACAGCACACGCTTTACAAGGAGAATGGTCTGGTCGTGCAAAGACGGAAATGGTACCTACGAGCTGCGGACTCGAATGAGCATTCCCCTTATGGTGAAGTTGGAATGAATAGGAGCGGTTGTATGCATGCTCCAGAAGTTTCACATGTACAGCGAATGTGCGGTAGTGAGGAATAATGGAATGATTGCTTGGCACGGCAGGATCTTCCTTGTTTGGAACAGGTAAGTGTTTCCAAGCGTGCAAGCCCACCTGTTTCGCATTGGTTTGCGGACCAAAGCCATAGTAGGCTTGCACCCTTTTGCGCGCCAAGGCACGCTCTTGAAATGACGTGGCAGCTTGATCCACCTTAATTCCTTCAAACTCGGGAAACGAATAATCTATTCGGAGTAAATTTATGTCATCCAATACATAAGGTTGCTACGTACACTTGGGGTAGCTTTGCTCATGCAGAAATCGGGCCTGAGAAGAGGTCCAGTAGTCTCCTTGTTCCGTTCGGAATGGTTGGAGCGGCCCGTCTGAAAGGAGTTGTTCGTTGTAAACTTGCGCATACGTACCACGTGCCTAAAAGACAACCAATGAATATTTGTGCGTGAGCATCGGCCAACACATACCTGTGTCCAAGGGTACTGTTCCCCATCGCGTTCATATCCGCTTCCCATCCAGTATTCGGGGTAGCACCACTCCCATAGAGCAACTTTTGGAATTCAATATCAGGATAATCCCTTCAACGAAATCACACATACATAGTCTATCCACATTTGAATGGTGAACTGAAGGATGACACGTCAGTAATGCAGAAGGGTAATTTGCACCTGTTCACTCACGGAAAAAGATGGGATCGAAACCGGCCTATATAAAGATGAGCACCGAAATCATTGCAGAGGATCAGAAGGAATTGCTCACGTAGTCTGGGTAACTCTGCCAATTTGGTTAATATAGATCAACAAGCTTCACTCGCACGCAAGTAACTAACCATTTGTCCATTCCCGCCCTGACTCATCGCTGGAGTAAGCATACGTCAAAGTTGGAACAAATGTATTCCACCCACGAGCGATAAATGAACAGTGTCGTGCACACCTTCAAGCGACCCACGGTTGATGAAGTCTATATCTCTCTTCGATTCCGCAGTATGATTAGAGAACTCGTCCCAGCTGTCAGCATATTTATCATTATATATATAATACTAACAGAAACTTAGACGTACGCTATCGCGAAATTTTCGTCATCACTGAACGTAAAGAGTTGGGCGACTCTGCGTCTCAGATCATTTGCTCCGGCTTTGAATGTCCTTACAAATGCAAATTCAGCACCAGCCTCGCGCAACATGTCTCAGTAGATACTCACTTTTGCAACAAGTCTATGCGGCTACCCTCAGGATCTGGTGTACTAGAAGCGTGGCGGTATGTCCCCTGCCACCTGGAGAAATACGCCACTTGTCCTGTCTACAGACCACATTTCAGCAAGATCAGTGGTCCGGAAAGGAAAAGGTAACGTTACCGAGTCATCCTTCTCGTCGCTAAAGTCGAATGGAACTCCGCCGACATAGGAGAAAAATGAGAGCGGATTATTAACGATTTGCTTTTTACCTCCAGCGGCCATGATTTCGACTTTTTCTTCGTACAGAACAGGAGGAAGGCCATTCTCGGGTACATCCTTACCGGCCCAGTCCCAGTATCTAAATGCAATGTAAATGGCTATATCAGCGTCTGGAAGGACTTCGCACGTACGGAAAACGCAGTTCCTTTGCAGCTTTAATCCATATTCCATGTTCATTCGAGTTATCAGCTTCGATGTCGTGGGCCAATTTTTCAGCGATGTTCCCAATCGATTGCTGCAATCCAATATGACTGAATTGAACAACGCATCAGGCATGATCATCTAGTGAACATACCTCAATGAGCATAACATATGGGCGATGCCAGGTGGGAAACACAACAGCGCCATGGCTGAAGAACAGTTTCAAATCAAAGGAGCGAGAGAAATGTATGTCAATTTACTTGCAATAACCTGTCACACAATATCGTCAGGCTATGGGAAACAACGATAGAAACGACCGCCATACCTCCAAATCTGGAAGGAACAGGATTGGTATCTTTCTTGTCAGTGCCGCTATAGTCAGCTGAGATGTCATTGTTGCGGTCGCCAGCCCATTCGACATAGGGCTTGCCGTGAATTGACGCAATTTCCATGAAGGTAGCTGCAGGCTCTTCCACAACTTTGGGAGTATCGGAACGCTGCTGGATCGTATTAAAAGCAAGGATGAATAATGCGAACTGGTAGGGATGGTCCTTTCTCTAGCGTCTGGATAGGTAAGCGATCAAAGTATGCCACCAGTGCCCTTGCGGCCGATCACGGGATAGTGGTATTCAACAGAACTCATTGTTGGAGTAGATGAGAGAGCAGCGAGAGGTCAGGCGTGACCAGCTGCATTTATACATACAGCAGGCGCGCAGACAGTGCCACCTTGTGCGGAGCTGATCAGTGCAGTTGATGCGGAGAGCTACGTAGGCACCGGAAGTGTATGCTAATACCTACATTCCGCAAAGAATGAAGTCCAGTTTAATGTGGTAAGCGATGAAGAATGGATTGAGACCTACCGGTCCGAATCTGCTACGGAGCGCCCATAGAATCAAATTTTGAATAGCACGCATGTCCCGCATGCGGATTGGATAAGTGATCTCATCTATATAGAGGACCAGTGGATGTCGTGGCTAACAGACCTCCGACCCAAAAACCTGCGTACTAACGATCACACGCACGATGAAATAAAGGAACAAACGTCTCCTACTAGGGCAGTCTGCATGATATTGAGGCAATGATGTGATGTCCTTGATATTGGGCGTCAAACTAGAAGGGCATGAAACAACATGATGGACGCTGCCCCTTGACAGTCAACTAGTCACCTGTCATCCGAGTCATGTCGGTGATGTCTCATCCACATAAGTCCGCCTGCGTGCCCCTAGTACTGGTTATAGTATGCAATTAGATGCAAGCTCGAAACGGGCGATAGAACATTATATCATACCTAAACGAACTGGATTTCAAAGATCAACAAAGAATGCTCCTTCATAATAAGTGATGCAGCCGATTTGGTGCCAAAGTTTGTTCGCATAGCTTATATAATCGTGCCGTTGATTAAGAAATTGGCTTAGCTGACAGATTACCGCGGTGTGCGCTTCTTATTGTTTTAGATGAATTGATCCAATTAAGGATCGTCCCGGAGACTGCTGGAACAACTTCCGCGTCTCAAATAGCAGACATGTACGCCTATAACTATGATTTTATCGAGATGTGCGGATACCATTCGAGTACCTGATCATTAAGAACAAGAAACGAGTGTTTGGTTATGAGTGAGCTGTCTGGTGTTACGAAGCGGATGCCAAGTCACAGAACAAAATAGTCGTGGCAGCAAATAGAGAAATTTGATTTCCGAATTGAAGCGTTGCGACGAGATTTAGAGAACTAATCTAATTCTGCCAAATCAAAAATCGTGCCCATGAGTATATAAAAGCTAGTTGTCGTCCTGCAGTATTCTCCCATCCTCAGAGATCTCTTTCAGAAGATTACATATCACCTCACACAGAAAATGCGTCTCTCCCTCCTCGCTGTTGTTGTTGCTTCGACAGCATCTATGTTTGTCAGCGCATGCAATGAACAATTTGGACATTGTGAAACAGATCTAGATTGCTGCGACCCCTGGATATGTTGGTATCGTGGGGTGAGTATGAGCAGGTTGCTGTGCAATCAGAATTCAACCACATGATACACCTGCTCACCTTAGCCTCAGGATGATTTTACCACTAAGCTCTGTGTGGCAGGACTGGCAGAGTGAAACCTGAGCCGGAAGCCCGAGCGGCATATCGCGTCGGTGGGTCATACTTCTGCTTTCGCTTTGGTATCATGCTTGATGGTGCAATACCCAGGTCGCAGTGACACGGTCAATCAGTAGAGTTATTTTTGAACGAATTGTCGTGCTGCTCGAGCAGTATTCATGTAGATGATTCAGATGAATTTTACGAACACGAAATCACAGAAGTAAGACAGACAGACGAGACAGCGAAGGGAAAGACAGATAGATATACTTACATAAATACTCTGACCACAAGGCAGAGCCTGCGATGGAGAGGCAATTTGAGATGCCCGAATGATGGTGGCATCATGCGTCTGAGCTCAGCTTCTCGAACCCTCGTCTTGAACCCAACAGCGCATTGCTCCGACACTCGGGTTGATGATTTTGACGCAACGATTGTACCAGACGAGATTGCAGATGTCTTCATAGGAACAGCGAGCGCTGTATATAGATATCGACATAAGACATATCATACAAGAAGAATATACTGCGAATAAGACAGATGGTAGAACTTACGGTCCGCGACAAAGGCTCAATGGGGTTCCAGCGTCTTTGGCAGTGTCAGAAGCTTGCAGGAAACTTCCACTGCACCCACTAACGAAACGCTCTGCGAGTCTTTTGGCATCTCGAAGCATTTCTGCCTCTGTTTATCGTCCATAGGCCGTCCACCTAGAGACATCATTCCCAGGAAACGGAGGGTTCACTCTGCTTGTGCTTCTCTTCCTCCTTTCTCGCTCTAGATGTGACTCTACAATGGCTGAACTACGAGCCTTGCGCTAGCAAATCACGCGTCAAGTTCCATTTAAAATCGACGAACAGTCAAAAGACACGTACTGTGTGCTCCTCAACTCCTCTGCAAATATCTTCATCCCGTCGCCTTGCTGTGGCACGCGAGTCCTCTTATGGTGGTGTATTTGCTGCACGTCGTTTCCGTCCAGCAACTTCGTAGCAAGACGTTGCTGTCTTTCCGCTGGCGTCTCTGTCCAAAGGGAAGTGTCACACGATGGTGGAGCGCTACGTACGAACTGACGAGGCCTGGTTTTCGTCGGATCAAGTGCTGTATGACTTTGATAAGTATACAAGTTAGAGGACCGCATGTTGAATGAAACGTACATGCCAAATTCCAATAAGTCGCCACTTTTTGGAGGTACAAGGATCTACTCTTCCCGCTGAAGCTTTTCAGCCTCTTCCTGAAGTTTCCTTCTCCTTTCCTTCTATTTGTGAAACATTAGCTGCAGGAAGTGGGTGAGGACCAACATCTCAATCCGAGTCATCATCGTGAGGAGCTTGTGAGAGAGGTAATGATGGTCCTACATAGTGTCGTTTTGGAGACGGTGTATAGGTATTCGATTCGCTCTTTGAGGGCAACGAAGGCCCAGCTGCGTGGGAGGCAGTAAGGCCAGGTGGCAGAGGCGGTGTGTAATATTCGTCTTTGTCAGAATCTCCGGCTGATGCAACACTTGGAAGGAGGTGTGTAGGCCTGTGAATTCTCCTAGCTTATATAATGGTAATTTAAACGTGAACACAAAATTAAGAAAATTGGCCTAGCCGCCGACAGTACGGTACGCCTCTTATTTGTTAGATGGTTGGAGATCGTCCCGCAGACTTTTCGAACAGTATAAGGTCCTTGCACGTCTCAAATAGCAGACGTGTACTCCTATTTATAATTTTATACTCGTGGTTACCAATTGCATATCTGATCATCAAGAGCAAAGAACTGGGTGTTTGGTTATGCATTATGAGTGAGCTGTCTGGTGTCACGCAGCAATAATGAAGTAGCGGATGCCAGGTCACAGGATACAATTGTCTGGCAGCAAATATAACTTCCAAATTACAAAGAGTGGAGCATTACAAAGGGATTTAGAGCGAACTAACACAATTCTGCCAAATCGAAATTCGTGCCCATGAGTATATAAAAGCTGGTTGTCATCCTGCAGTGTTCTCCCACCCCCGGAGATATAATTCGAGATCTCTTTCAAAAGATTCCATATCACCTCACACACAAAATGCGTCTCTCCCTCCTTGCTGCTGCTGTTGCTTTGACAGCATCTATGTTTGTCAGTGCATGCAGTAACGAGTATGAAACTTGCAAAACAGATCAAGATTGCTGCATATTCTTGTATTGTGAGGTGAGTATGAGCAGGTTACTGTGCAACCAGGATTCGACCACATGACACACCTTTGCCTCAGCCTTCGACCAACCTCTGTATAGCAGGGTGACTGGCAGAGTGAAAATTGTGCCGGAAGCCCGAGCGGCATATCGCGTCGGTAGGTCATATCTCTATTTTCGCTTTGGTGACGGTGCAATACCTAATTTGCAGTGGCATAGTCGATCAGTACAGTTTTTGGACAAATATTCTGCTACTCGAGCAATGTAGACGTCTGAACTTATCTAAAAATGATTGACCCTGCCTAGTCTTGCTCATCGCCCACTAAGCCTGAGTTCAAGAGGCTGTCGAGATTAGCGATCCGAGTCATTGCTGTTGATGATCAACATTGGGAGGCCGTAAGAGGATGGAACGCACCGTGCGCGTGAAGCCCAAGGTCATACGGGAAAGCGCGTTGTGATGGAAGTGAAAAAAGGGGCGACAAAGATAAAGAGGATTCATATTACTGCCTGCACGATACTTTCAATCAAAGAGTAGCGTGGGGAACTCGGGAGTGATCCTCCTCATCGAGCAAATGTTGGATGAGGTGCAAGGGACACGGACACGGTGGAAGAGGAACTTTGAAGAACGTTGATACCATTATAGTAGCTTCGTCAACGAGTACTGTTCCTGGTCTCCGAGAGGCGAGGGAGTACAGGGTCGTCTGGGTATGCCACAGATGAACTCGATCGATATCGTCGTGAATGTCAGATGGAGAGCGAAACTTTAAAGAAAGCTGTGGTGGCGGATGATCACGAAGTACTAGGGATTTTGACCACATACTACTACACAAGAATGAGTATCATTTCTGTTGTCCCTGTGCAGCAGTTGCAGGGTCATGGCGAACTGAAGTTTTGAATCATGGAGAGAGATCGGAGTGAAAAACCAGGAGGTTCAAGCGAGCGTTCGAGTTGGAGGTTGTCGAGTCACAGAATGAAACAGTTGTTCTTCATCAACATCGGAAATATCGACGAGATTCACGAGAATGAGCAGCAACTTCTCCACTTGGTCGCTGCGCAGGGCCACTGCAGGTTCAAATGATGAAGCGATGGGTGAAAGATTGGGTTGTGATACAATAGTCATAATCAAGCGAACACATTCTTGCAGGTTCTGCCTACATTTCTGTCATCTGATAGCAATAACACTTCTGCCAAATCGATCAGAATCGTGCTCATAAGTATATGCAGGGTATAAAAGCTGATCATTGCCCTACAGTGTTCTCCTATCCTCAAAGACATCATTCCCCCCTCAGAAGATTCCATATCACCTCGCACAGAAAATGCGTTTCTCCTTCCTCCTCGTCGTCATCGTCGCTTTGGCGTCATCTATGTCTGTCAGTGCATGTGTGACCCAAGGTCAACCTTGCACCCCCGGGCAAGTTGACGAATGCTGCTTTATATTGGTTTGTGTGGATAATGGCGTAAGTATGAGCAGTTTGCTGTGCAACATAACTCACCTACGCACCTTAGTACAATAAAACGGTCTGCATGTCATAGCCGATTTGAAAATTGAGCCGGTAGCCTGGGCGGCACAGTGAGTCGTGTTCCTGGTTTTGCTTGGGTACCATGCTTGATGGTGCAATACATTACTTTTCCAAACTGGTGTAAGCGTCGACCGGTCGGTGTTCACAAACTTGTTCCTTGTTCTTTAGGCATCCCAGCCGTTGGAGGGTTGTGACGTGGATGTTGCCGAAGGAGGGAGCGGGTTCCAGAAGCAGAGTTCAGGCACACTATATATCCTGAGGTCACATGAGAATACTGAAGTGTAGTTTAGGTCAAGTTGAGGTACTCTGAAACCAGTTGTGGATTTCGACTTGTGATCGGCCTCGCGAGACTCGTATGAGCAATAATAATAATTCGAGAAAATTACATCAATCACTGTTCGCTACGTACTGCACAGGACACAATCACTAGGAACCGGCAATTGTGACAGACAAAATATACGAATAACGGTTGCAAGTCATTGTTTTCCATGAGCTTGATTGTATGAGAAAAGAAGAAAGGATATGGCATAGGTCAGTCATAGCATAGTGGAGTTAACGTAGGAGAACGACGACAGGTTTTCTAGCCCTGTCAAATACGGATGGGCCTCACCGAAGCGGGAGTGGGCCTTCCCCTAGGACGGGGTCGATTGAGTCTTAATGTTTCCGATGGCCTATAGAAACAGGTCAGCGGAATGTATATACATAGATGCGATATCATACTCACGTCATGCCCAAGCCTTGCGACATATTACCAGGTACAGCTGCCAGAGAAATGTTACCGATGCTAGCATTCTCCTTATTCTCTGAACCATTGCGGCCAGTGCTCCTCTTCACCCAACCCAAGGCAGCTCTTCGCGCGACCGAGCCCACGCGGGGACGGGGTGGGAGGCCGAACACGCGCTCGAGTTTACCAGGTGACATTGCTGCGTCCTTCATGAGTTCACCTGCCTTGGTGTTTTCGATCGCGGGTGACATAATGTTAGGGTTGACGGAAATTTGTTGCAGCGCCTTCGGTTGACCTTGGGAGCGCATATTGTCATTGGGAGCGTTTTCTGCGACGGCTGCAACAATGGCCGCCCTCACTTGCTCGGTGGCTGGAGAAGATGTGAAAGAGGTCTTGAACGTCCTGGGGTAGGGCGAAGGTCGAGAGTTGACGCGAGAACGCATGCGTCGAGGGCGCAACTCTGAAGGTAAAGGCCCGTAGTTCTGCATTGAATGTTCCAAGAGCGCTTGCATGCCGGAAGGATGACTAGGAGGATCAAATGCTGATAACGACGTTCATTACAGTACAGTGAACAGGTGATAAGTACTCACATTGAACTGCGAAGACGGAAAATGGTGTGTCAAGCCAGAGTCGCTGGCTCTCTGTCACTGTATCTTCAGCTTCGTCGCGAAGCGCATAGTACTTGCGTAGCGCCATGATTCCTCTCTCGTCATCCCACAACGACACCGAATCCATAGACGCAGTCTCAGCGGGATCAGGAATAAATACGGGAGCGCGACCAATTGTCTTTGTCGTTGAATCAGGAAGTTGGACATTATTTATCGCAGAACTTGGAAGCGACTGAAGGGATGAAGTCGGAGCAAGCGATGTTGTGAGTTCCTCCTCGATGGTCTCGTAAATGGACGTGCGTGATGCACGGGCCTGAGAGATACGTCGTTGGTGACCGTGGCCACGAGCGCGTGGTCGGACTCGGTCCAAGGTAGCGTTTGACAGAGGGTGAGTAACGTCAGAAAGCATGTAGTTGACATGTGAGAGGTCAATGCTGGACTGCGAGCCTTCCGAGAATGTGGAGTACCCATCCATTGAAAGTGGAGGTGTCTCAGCACCAGAACTCATAGACGTACAAGTGTTGGAGCGAGAACGACCTGCACAAGAAGGGCGGGTAAAGACAGGGATGCGGACTAAAACCCCAGTGAGCAAGACAAAGACATCCATTGCAAACGACCAACTCACAAGATGTTGACAGATCTTCCTCTCCTTCTGCGATCAACACCGTGTTCTCCAAACTCTGCCTCTCCAAAAGACCGTGCTTTGCTCTAATCATGCGCTCGTCACCGAACTTCACCGAATATGCAGTCGAAGCAATCGACGGCTTGGTCTCAAGAACTCGGCTCTTTGGAGATTCATAGTCATCAACCTTACGAAGGAAATTTGGCTGAGGAGTGTCAGATGCCATGTGTTTCCTTTTTTCAACTTGGCGACAAGGTGAGGCTTCGATCATGGATCCTACGGAGCGGCGTCGAACATGGCCACCACCAAGCATCTGCAAGAGAAAACGTAAATAACCAATTCACAAGCATGATTCCAGGAACTTACGCTGATCATGGTGTCATCTTCCTTCTGCGGACTATGAACACTAGCAATGCTGTAGCTTGATAACCGTTTGAATTGAGGCGGTGCATGCGAGGAGTCCACAGCAAAGAACGCAGAGTCAGACGAAGAAACGGATGTCCTATGGCAAGTTTTCTCAAAGAGCGAGTCTTCCATATTGGGCACTGGTTGATGTTCATGGTCCATGTCCATGATCGAATCATAGGACATGCGATTCACGTATTGGGCACTCCGGAACTGCTCGCTTCCGATGCTCCCGGCAGGGCTTTCAGGCGGCGATGCAGAAATAGCGGTCAGTGGCATTCCACGATCCAAAGCAGAGTCAAGCATCTTGTCTCCCAGTCCTGGCCTCCCCAGGTGAATCTCCGAGAAGTCACTGAGCATGGAATCCACAGAAAAGTCGGGGCGATGCCTAGCCCACGAGGCACGCCCGCCATGAACGTATGGTTGCGAAACGCTACTCGTGCTAGCGCTCGAGTCATTGCGGCGGCGGTATCCATAACTGCTGCGGTTGTGTCCATAGCTGTTGCGGTTATATAAGCTGATAGGTGGACCTAACGAAGAGACGGAGACTCCAGACGAGTGGCGACGATGAGCAGCAATACGATTATATGGGTGCAGCTGTGAGTGCATCGAGGTACGGAAGTAGAAGCTGGAGGTATCGCTATCAACGCGTCTCCTGCGAGGTTGTTTGTGGATGAAGGAGAATGTATCATCAAGAGAAGACATAGTGAAAGAGAACTCGTCCGAGGAAGGACGCTCCCGAAGGCTTGGGAGTGGTGATGCCCCATAATCGAAAGGATCTGTAGACCCGTGATTGATAACCTGTCCATATGACGAGACAGACGCAATGCTGAACATAGACTCGCGTTTGTTGTGGTCGCTACGCGAAGTGGCTCCTGGCGGAGGGTAGAAATTCGGACGATTGTCATGGAACTCGAATCCCCTTCTCACTTCTGCAAATGAGTCAAAGCCTGCAAAGCTCAGTTCTGAAGAGTGTCTGTAGTGACCTGGAACATTTGAAGTGCGACCAGCTGAACGTCCGATGCGCTTCGAGCTAGTGTCTGAATCGAGGCGAACGCGAGACGGAGGTGAGGGGATTTCGACAGCTTTTGCAAATATGGATTTGAGAACAGCCGAGTCATCAGCAGCTAACGAAGTTGCGGAGAGGGACTTGGCAACAGCCAAAGGAGGGATGATATCCGATAGTGTAAGTGGCTCCTCATTCTTTTCAGCAGAGGGTGCAGGCGATGGCTTACCGCCAAACTTGAAGTTCCTATTGAGCTGTCCATCTGATGGTCGTGATTTCATGGACCTCATGGACCTAGCGTTCCTCAAGAGTTGAGGCCGCTCTGCACAAAGGAAGTCCTCCTCCTCCTCCCTCTCCCAGTCGTTTGTCGTGGCAAAACTATCCGTTCCAGGAAGCAGCGACGGTTCAGTGTCCACATCCATCGGGAAGCCCTGAGGTAAGAACTCCTGCGACACATAGTCCATACTGAATGTGCTATCCCCCGCGCGTTCCAGTTCCGCCTGCAATGACGGGATCTTGGGCACAGGAGGTGCATCAAGTGGAAGGTCAAAATCATACCGCAAATCAATCTTGGCAGGTGTGCGAAACGCGTTCTCTAACTGCTCGACAAAGCTAAGCCTGTTAGATCCACCGCACTCGTTCAGCTTCTGCAGCTCGCCCGTGAAGTCAAAGGATTTCTTGGTATCGTCCTCAGATGACATTCCAGCCTCTTCAACATCAGCATGGTGGTCGTCCTCGTCGATGACTTTGGCACGGAACACAGGAGCTTCAGTAACGGAGCCTTTGGGCAAAGGGAGTGGCATCTCGGGCGGCAGCCCAGGCGAGGGCAGTGGTGGATGCGCGACTGCCAGATTGGGATTGAACGACAACGTGTCATCTGCTTCGTGATCCGAGTTGGACAAAATGATCTGCAATTCGTCAGGAATGTCAGAGTCAGGATCACTCGCGTCCAGCTCTTGTGCTCCTACGGAACCGCCCAACGTCCCTGCGAGACCAAGGTTTCGGCGTGCATCAGGGAGAATCAGTAAGCCCGGGCTATCAAGCGGTTTCGGAATATCATCGGTGGTGTCGCAGCGCAATTGCAAATGCGCATGCTCCATAGGCACAAGGGACGATGGTTTCCTCTCATGTCCTCTTGCCTTCTTGAACACAGGGCTTGTACCCAGTGACGCACGAGAGCTGGCCTTTGAATGTGCAGAGCCAAACGTACGTGATGATGGTGAACGATCCGCGTTGCCCGTGAATGGTAAGCTCATAGGTGCTGCAAAGACAGTGCGTCCCGAGACAGGCACCCTACTTTTCGCGGGGCGGAGTGCTTTGAAGACGGGCTCTGGTTCTGCCGCAGGCGCAGGACTCATTGTACGCTTGTGCGTGAACCTAAAGGTTGATGCTGGCGCGTGCGAGTCCCTCTGCGGGGATTTTGCAGGTGATATCCCAGCATTGAGCGTTGCCCACGGTGCGATATGCTGCCCGATGGACGGAACTACAGCGGTGGATATTGTCTTGGCGTATGGGCGGAGTGACGTGACGCTCGCGGCGCTTGCGCGGAGGCGTTTGACAGGGCTTTCTAGAGTCATGCGTTTTGTGGGGCTGCCAGCTTGGGAAGATGCCAACAAGGATGGCGAACGACCACTCAGAGGTGACATATCCGGCGTCGCTTGCAGATCAAGGCGGTTGATGAGCTGCGCGAGATCATTTGTTGCTGCGTCCAGGAGAGACATTACAGCGCAATCTGTGTGTCATAAATGAATCAGTACAACACGAATAGTCGACTGGCTGTACGCATGACTTGACGTACCGTTTTCGTCCTCGTACATAGCCTTGGGCCTGCTACGCCCCAAAGGCTGCTCACTTAGCGGCCTTAGACGTGTTCGCTTAACTGGTGTCTCGAGGTCGCTGTGTCCATCGACAGTTGCTTCTTCGATGGTTACGAGCGGCACAGTAGGTACCTCTTCCTCTTTCATTCCCTCACCTTCGTGGTCAGACAACTCCCCAGGGAAAACTGCCGAGAGTGGCGTCCTCTTCCTGCTATCTGAGCTCTTGCGGGTTCCTTTGGTCTTCTTTTCCTTGGTACTATCCTTCTCCTTCAATGCGCGTTCCTTCCTCCTGACCTCCTTCACGGTTTCTAACCCAACCTCATCCCACCTCACCGAGCAACCCCCAGAAGACCCTCCCGAAGATACAGAAACAGGCCTCACGCTGCCAGCGCTGCTCGCTGTCATGGTGGATCCCGTCCTTGCCCTGGCCAGAACACCACACCCTAACGTGGCAGCTGAATCTACCGACGGTTTATTCGAGCTCTGTGCTTGAGCAGCTACGATCGACGATGCCGTAGACCCACTGCGCATAGAGGGGAGACGCATCGTGGAGGGGAGGCCAAGCCCAAGGATGGACTTCTTCTTGCCAAGAGTCGCTCTGTTGGCGTTCTTTTCAGGGCTAGCGCTGAGCGCGCCTGCTTCGAAGCTGCTACCGGAGTAGCGAACAGTTGCAGCCTTGTCCTTCTCTTTCGCCTTTTCTTTCTCCTTGTTTTGGCTCTTGTCCTTTTTCTTCTTCTTTTTCTTAGGCTCGCTAATGACGGGAGGAGTAGGTTTAGGTGTGTCATCGGGCGCGGGGATGTTCTTGAGTTGTGCCCAAGACCCAATACGTGCGAGAGAGCGCACAGAGCGCATGGCTCGGAGAGCGACGCTATCTTTACCTGAGCCGAGGGGGGCAGTACTTGGTGGAGCAAGTGTAGCACCAGATGCGAACGTCGCAGATGGCGGCGTCGGTACACGCAGGTGCTGGCTCTCTGCAGGTGACTTGGAGTGCTCAGGGAACACTGGGCTGTGGAGTAAAATCCCCGAGTCGAGAGAGTTGAACCGTGCTCGGGACTCGGTTGGTTCACTTGTTGAGGGCGGTGCGGGCGCTATCAGATGAAATATGTTAATCGCGCGCAGGAGTGCGAATCATGAGCTTACATCTCGGTCTGTCTTTCTCCTTCGAATCCTTCTTCCCCTTCCCGATGGTCCACCATCCGGACTTCTCATCCACCTTTACCTTCGATGTATTCTCCTTGTCTTTCTTCTTCTCCTTCTTTTCTTTTTCCTTCACATGTGGAACGTTGGTCACTTCGCCAAGAGCGGGACCCCAACGCATGCCATCCAAAGCCATGCGGCTCTTCTTCTTCTTGACTACGACGATCTCCCCAATCTCGGGATCAAGCATCGGGTCAACATATATTTCGATGCCTGCGCTACCATTCTTATTCGAGTCGCGGGCACCAACTCGGCGCACCACGTCCGATAAATCGGTCTCTCGCGACGAAAGAAGACCAAGCTTTGATTTCTTGGGTACGAGACGCTTACGAGGCGTTACATCTGAGGACGAGGCTTTGGGTGCGAGAGCAAGTGGGGGCTGGGGTTCAGACCATGGAGCAATGCAGGAATCGGCTGATGAGGGCGTTGCAGCGATAAGGCGGATGGTGGGGATAGCAGGCTTGGTTGCAGGTGTTTCGAAGGGTGATGGTGAGCGGGTGCGAATGGTGTCAGTTGGTCGTGAAAGAAGTTGCAAAGGCATGTCGTCGTCTCGTGTGCAAGTAAAATTGATGATATGGAAAAACGGTCCTGAAAAACGTTATATGCAGTCGTAATCGTATTAAAACAAGTCGTCGAAATTCGAAATGATGAAGCAAGCAAAGTGGAAAACGAGAAGGCGTTATGAGTCGTCGTGAATCGTGATCAATATCGTTATGAGATCTATGTTGATTTAACTTGATTGATTGTTTGATGAGATCGTCGTGGTCTTGCGGTCCTGACGGTCGTCTGAGAGCAATTGAACTCGCCAATGCTTTGAATTAGTAGATGGAACGGAATCTCTAGCAGACATTAGCAGTCAGTTAAGCAAAAGGTTCCTTGTCGAGAGAATAGACACATACCCAAGCGACGAAAGATGACTTACGGTGACAAGCTCGCGCACAAGAGAGACAAGAGCCCCTTCTACCTTCACCGCCTTCCTGAAAGTCGAACTTATTTGGTTGTGTAGGTGTATAAAAACAACGCGTAAATAAGACGCGAACAAATAAATAACTCACGTGATCGCATCCGAGCCACTGCTGTCGACTCAGTTCCCGCTATCCATGTCATCACGTACGACGAGGGCCGACGACGCATACTTCCTCAACGTCTTGCAGTGCGCATCAAGTTATATCACCTGACTTCTACTTCCAACTGATATTGAATCCCAATTCAAATACCAAATAGCAGTAGAGAATGCTTGATGGCCCCACGTCTTTTGCCCGTTGTCTTCCTTCCCGGCTATGAAGGATACTGTGACGCCAAAAGATCAGGGAGAAATATATGTGCGGCATAAATGCAGAAGCCATAAATGACAATCTCGACGTACTCACAAGATCATGTTCCGTGGTTGATCTTCACCTCATCCGATTCCAATCGTGTCCCATGATGGCACCAACGTCGTAACCAGTTCCACCGGGGACATGCACAAGCACTTCATTTTGCAAGTGCCTATCACACTTGATCGGATTAGAAACTTATACACTAGAGTTGCAGCGAGAATCATCAAAGCGGCACTGCGGCACCACAACGCCGTTCTGAAACTTCCTATTGCGCTTTGACCGAGTTCAATCGAACGTTCGAACTCCGTACTGCTATGCCCAACCCCTGTCTCAAAAAGCTGCGTGGATGTTACCCGATGCCAGCGTGGGTGTTGGCATCCACTACGGTCTACCAACCATTGATTTTCTTCTTGCCGAGGAAAATACAACAACTTCCCTCCGGTATCCTTTGGTTTATCCGACATGCTGCCGATTTCATCGTCAGTGCGTCTACAGCCTCCCGCAATCACCTCAGCCATCAATACGCGTTCAGCTGATCGCGGGCATGAGGCATGGGGGGAATACCCTCCATAGCAGACCGTTTCAATTTTGTTCGTGCTATTCTTCTCTTTATGTTGCTGTTGATCGTTCTGAATATCCGTTTGGCTAGTTCAAAATTTCCATTTAATAAATAACGGCTGCCTGTATTACATCCTGTGATCCCTTTGTTTCCACAACCGACACAGAAAAAAACCAGGGTGATACTTCCGGTTGCATGCACGAGGCAAACTCGCGCTGTGACATGCACATGTTTGATGGAAAACAGTCGCCCACAAACCATTGATATTTTTTTTGCGTGTTCGATTGAACAGTGGCTCACGTTGCTGAGTTAGCCTATGTGGGGCCCTTGTTGGCCTATTCGCAAGATTCTAGGGTGATTCTTCCGGCTACATGCACGAGGCATCGCCTATCGCATACCTATGCAACTTTTGATTTCTCACAGCTTATCCACAGTTTTCGGAACAGCGGTTCCCTGTTGTCAAAGCTTTTGTTGCAACAAAGATTACCGCTCATGAATGATTGGAACATGTAGCCCCTAGCATTAAACGACGATTATCCTCCATCGGAGTTTGAAACTATTTGAACATCGGGATGCAACGTAATCGCCAGCGATGGCAGGTTTGTCCCTGCCTCGAGGCAGACCTTGTGCTAAAAAGGGCGGGGACGTCGTAAGGCTGTTCAGATTTCCTTACACTTGGCTGACATTGGGCGTGAGACGAAGGACCTACTGAATATATGTAGGCACCCATGACTCTTAGAGAAGCGTAGGCACATGCCATGATGCCATCCTACACGCTGTCTACTCCCGCCATCTTTGGTAAGCACCTGCCATATCCGTACACCGCACATCTTATTTTCAATTTCCGGATATTTACGCCAATCACGGGTAACCGGATTACGAAGCGCTGAACCTTTTAATAAATGGGTTACCTCTCCCCACGTCCAAACAGTTCCGACTGACCGTCAGGTTGACTGTCACATTATTTCGTGCCTCCCTCAAGGTCAGTACAACAATTCTGACATCGTCCACCTCAATCCATGATGACAGACTTTTGTTTCAGATGCCTTCTGTGACGTTGAACAGTGTGTCAGGTGACTCTTTCGTCAATGTTCGCAAATTAAATGCAGGACGCTATCTGCATGAAACCTCGACAATCGCAGCAATTCCGGACGAACTGTTATCTGCCATCTTTCATGTTGCAACACACGATTTTCATGACTGTTATGACGCTATATTTCACGCCACCACAATCTCACATGTTTGCCAACGCTGGAGAAACGTATCTCTTTCAACCTCATCATTATGGACCGTCATTGTTCTTACATTTCCCACTCGTCGCACTCAATTCTTTCGCACCGTCGACTGGCTCGCGCGTTCCCGCTCTCGCCCTTTGCATCTATACATGGATTTCCGAGATCCCGCATGGAATTGGGACGAAGCATCACATTACTTCGGCTGGCAAAATATGGAAAATGTTATGCGACTTATTCTGCCCTATGCGCACCGGTGGCAGAAGGTCGAACTTCTCACCGACACCTGGGCTCCTATTTTTACCTTCCTCTCTTATACCTCCCGCATAAAATCAGCTCCTATGTTACAGGATGTCCTTCTTTCCCGCTGTAACGCCTTCTTTGCTGCAAAGGGCGAGCTCTTCCGTCCTTCTGCAATGAGGCATCCAGTCTCCTGGTTCGGGGGAGGCTCTGCATTCCACAGCCTTCGTCGGGTCTCCCTTGCCGGTGTACACGTGAACTGGATAAACTCGGGATTGTCGGGTCTCTTGGAACTTGAACTCAAGTACCACGCGAGCGAGGTGATGCCGACATTGCACGAGTTCTGTGACATCATATCTGCATGTCCTGAACTCGAGCGATTGAGCATCTTGGGATGGGGTCCTCAGATAGACGTAAACGTTGCGCCCAAGCAGCGCACTCTATACCTTCCACATTTACGAGATTTCGCCTTCGGATTCATCGACGTCGAATATGCTATTGATCTCTTGTCGCTCTTTTACCTCCCCGCACTTGAAACGCTCTCGCTGGAAAACATTTCTTCTTCACTAGATCCGTCGCACCCTTGCGATTCGTCCCGTCTTTTGGAATACCTCACAGCAGCTCACCACTCGTGCACAACTTCGTTTCATCCATTCCCATGCGCAACGTGCGGACCATATCCCTTATCTTCACTTCGTTCTTTGGAACTTCACGGCCTTACATCATGCGGAGTTTCCTTGCGCTGCTTTTTGCAGGAAACCGCGACTCTCGACCATCTCGTACTATCCGGTCTGGACAAACTGAACTTACAAGCAATCATTCCAGACCTAATCGCCGCGGCGCTTTGTCCGAGTCTTCTTGACTTGAAATTCAACGATACAGGCCCGACGATCGCTGCGTTGTTAGCTTCTCTTCCAGTCGGTATCGTTCGCAATTCCAATTCTCCATCGATGCGTGTCATCGTAGTCGCGAATGCTGCCGACAGTGATGACGCAACGCACGAGCTCGTGCACCTATTGAGGGCCGCTGGTGTCGAGGCCATGATCTTAGGGAACGCCACTTGTTAAGAGGCTTGGCGAAGGAAGCCGCAGCATCATTTATCAATTTCACGCGGCGCTCATCAGTCACCCGTTCTTCCCTCCACGTTCCCCATTATCACCAACAATTTAACGCCCATCCTCCCTGCCTTGTACGTATGTAATGTCCTTCACGTCACACTATATAGTGTATCTTTATGCCCACGCATTCCCTCATTTCCGTCAAGATCGCATGTTAGTATATCCGTACGATAGAGCTGAATCACCTGTAGCATACACAATGTATAATAAACACTCGTTTTCATCGGACATAGATTAGCAAAATCATTATGAATCGGACTCGGATGTATTATGATCAAGCACTTTGTGGCGATAATCAAAGAACTTCCGGCTTCGACCATTTCTGTTACAAGGGCAACCTGTCGCATGGTTATAATTAACGTCGTAGATAATCAATACTGCAAAGTGCCGCGACCTATTCGCATCATGTGCCGACAAAGTACTCACAGGGCAACCCTCAAGGCCTCAGGACCAATCATGCAGTGGTAGATATGAAGGGTGTCAATGTATGAAATCGTGATATCAGTATTTGTTGCTCCAGACCATGATTGCAAAACGATAACGTGGAAGTTCATGTGTTAAAAATACAGCCTCCATCGAGCATCTGAACTGGGCTCATATTCCTTCTCCGATAAGTCGTTCAGGTGCCTCGACATATGCCCTCCAAGACTCCACAAATGCAGCCAACTCTGCACCTTCTAGCACACGATGATCCGCACTCCAGCTCACGCCAACCTTGAGCCTCCTCTCCCCACGGTCACTCTTACTGACGTCCCACACCCATCTTGCTCTGCCTATGGCCACGATCGCGACACCACCCCCAGGTACTAAAACAGGGTGTGCATACTCTCCGTCGCCGATTGCACCTATATTTGATATCGTGACCGTTGCACCACGTTTCGGCATCTCGTTCATCGTAAGTGCGCATGGTACTTGACGGCCGAGGAAAGAAAGATGCTTGAGTTGTGAAGATAGGCTGTAGATGCTGTGCGTATCTGCATGGGATATGACAGGTGTGTATAGACCCGTCGGGGTGCTCAGAGCAACAGCGATGTCCGCGTGCGGACGGATGGTAAGGGTAGGCTTGCCTCCCCCGTTTACGCTACCTGGCGTTATGGAGGAACGGAGCACGGGCCATGCCATCATGGCCTTTGCAAGCGTCTTTATGAGTATGGGGAGGTATGTGATACGGGTGAATTGGGCGCTTTCTGGCACGAGAGGAGGGGATGGTGCGGGATGCAGAGCGGAAGGGTTAATTGGGAGTGATGATGATTTGGAGGGATCAAAATGTTCAGGTATATGCGAATTGAGTGTTGGGAGAAGAGAATGGAGAGACGTGAGATCGAGGGAAGTCGAGTAGCTGATACAGATGATGAGTGATAGTGAATGATAATTGAACGGACGAAATCATACCCAAAGTGTGGAACCTCAAGACTCTGAGTCATAGCTTTCCACATGCCATAACGTGTCCGACCAAGCTCAACAATCACGTCTTGTTCGGTTTGTGCTCGTGGTGCAACTGAACTGAGGTCTACTGAGACAGAAGAGGCTTGCTGTGATATGAATGCATCAATATCCTTCTTCTCGATGCGTCCGTCACGTCCGCTGCCCGAGAGAAGTGCAAGGTCAACCTTGGACTGGCGAGCGTAATGACGGACTGAAGGCTTTGCGAGTACGTTCTCACGGTTAACATCGGGAGTAGAGGAAGGCAAGTAGTTTGGGTCCATGGGGTGTAGTCTTCTGGGTGCAGACGGTTCCTCGCGGATCTGTTCGGCCCGAGAGACAGCATCTTCCACAAACTTGGAGTTTGGAATTATTGGCGACGGCGCTGCTGCAGCCGATAAGGCAGGTTCTATCTGCTCTGCACTTGCGCTATCCGACAATTCCTCATCAACCTCGATCACACAGAGTCCTTGGCCAACCTTTGCAACTTCACCTTCCTTCACCAGAATCTCTTTCACTATACCATCGAACGGGCTTGTGATTTCGACGCTAGCTTTGTCGCTCTGGACCTCGCATAAAGGATCAAAGCTTTGTATGGCGCCAAGTTCCTTGACATTCCTGAGTTATGAGCTCAGTGGGGAGCATGATATTTGCAAGGTCCGGCCGACGCACCATTTGATGACTTCACACTCTGTGATACCCTCGCCAATATCAGCCAGCTTGAAATTCTGTAGAATTTTCCTCGAAGATAAGCATGGTGGAAATGTATGGAAGTGTGAGACTGCAGTTGGACGAGTGAGAAGGCGGCGGAGAGGGCGGATGAACATGGTAACTGTGCGGGGAAGATAGATGAACAAGCTCTGCTAGATCCGATCGGGCTAAAAATGGAATATATGTGATTACATAATCACGAGATAGCGTTGTCTGGTTCACTTTCTTTTCTGCAGAAGTTCCGGATGAGTCCCAAGTTGAATTTTTGTCAGGTGTATAGCCATGCGGCGCTTTGCCACACACAGGAAGTATTCGGTTACAACAGCACTGCGTTTCAGATGACAGCCTACCGTCACTACGTCCTACTACCGTGGCACAATGCTATAGGACCACTTAATTAATCTTGTTCCGTGCGTCATTTTCCATCATATTTGAGCTCAAGTTATCGTGATTCGCCCTCCAGATCCAAGTCCGCGACGTGATTGCGTTATGCACGGAGGTTGTCAACACAGGACGAGTTTCGACCTGTTACCATTTCATACCGATGTTGCAAGAGACCTGGCTGTCTGCGTTGGTTTGCTGCGGCACAGTTGCAGCTGCCATCAAGCTACAAGTCCCGCAATATGATCTTTGCGCATTGAACGTGCAACTAAGGTTTCGAATAGTTAAGCTTCACGCCAAGGTTGGATGCGCTGCCACATAATTATTTAGGACAAGACTCTTACTGTACTCAGGTACAAGGCCGTGACGTTTTTCTTTGACGGTCGGCAGAGCAGAATCGGTCTTCTCACATCTCGAGGAACGTGATTCATCAGTCAATGGCATCATGTTGTGGGTATGCTGTGACTTTGTTGCCATTGACCTAGACCGAGACCCGCCGTGATCTCAATCATTATGTATCCGAGTTTTGCGGCCCTGTCGAATGTAGTCTTTCAGGAATGCTGCTTTCTTTCTGCTCAGTTGACTGAGTCAGACTCTCGTACAGGCCTGGCCAGGGACAGCCTCTAAGCTTTGGTTAAAAAATAGCCTCTCATTGGCGCTTATTACATTGGATCCGCACGTCCATGTTTCGAGCACTTTATCTCCCCACCCCACATACTACATAGTCCTCAAGGATACGTTCTCGAAGCATGCCTCCAAATGGCTTCTTCAACATGAGTACAAGCATGGAAGTGAGTTTCTATAGGCATATGCAAATGAAATCTCTCTCATGGTTAGAAGGTCATCACAGCCATCGCCACCTCCGGCCATGATATCAACGCTGTCCGACAGGCAGTGATCATGTACATTGTGGCCAAAAAGAAAAAAGGTTATTCTGAACAATACATACACGAAAAATTAGAAAAGTTAGAGCTCAAGGTTTGTCTGTCTTGTGCTCGGCGTGTTGACAGACGTTGACAGCGAGTGTCAGTTCATGCACATAGAGGCATTACATCCCGCTTGGAGAGACGCTCGAGCGTTATTCCAGCTTCGCAAATCTGATTACATCCCCATGCCCATGTCCATTGTTCGCGAGCGTGAAAACGAGGAGCGTCGCCAATTGGAGAGGGAGTCGTCTTCAATGGCACTATCGAGTCCAGTTGCTTCTTCCGCATCAACTTACACGTCGTCTTCAGCATCCATGTACACGTCGTCTTCGGCATCCACTTATACATCGTCTTCGGCATCCACTTACACATCGTCTTCGGCATCCACTCACACGTTGTCTTCAGCATCAACTCGTCCTTCATCAGTGCCGTCTATTGCATCAGTAATATCGACTCCCAGCTCGCCACCACCTCTAAGCTGGGATGGTACAAGCAAACAAGATGAACCAGGACATCACTCCCCATCTCATGCTCATCCATCCCGCCGTGACACAGCATTGTCCTTACTCTCCGAGTATAGTGATGACTCAGAGCCCGACGAACAAGTGTTCATTCTGCCATCAGGTAACCCGCAGAATTAGCATGGGGTGTGTGGCACTGACGGCCTCTTTAACTTATCCCGTTGCGCGTGAAATCTGAATCTCCCGTATCCCTCTTCCTTTCGAAACCATACGATGTACTTCTATGTGTCCCAGAGCCTCATCATATACTCTTATCAGCCTCACTCTTCATCCTTATTCAGCGGCGCGAAGACGTCGTGATGTGGAATTCTTTGTTCGCGGAGCTGCGAACGTAACTTGACTGCGTGTACAGTCAACCGGTTTCGATAATCGATTTGTGACAACACTGCTTTAGACTCGTTTTGCGGGGTTCTAATATCAAAGGTGAAGAGACTCGGACTAGAGAAACTAAGGGCGAGAACAGAACTCAGTCTTGGTTCAAAAAGACTGTAGGGTAACTATGGACCATACCTAAGGGCGAGAACAGAACTAGTAGAGTAGTAGTTAGTAAGAGTAGAGTAGGGATGTCAATAAGATAGCTCACCTCAGTCTTGGTTCAAAAAGACTGAGGGAGATTGTTCGACGAGAGGAGGAATTAATACGTTTGATTGGGACGGAGAGTCAATAGGAAACGTGTATGACGCATGGTAGGAGGAGTGTTCGTGTATGTAAAATGAAAAGGCTAAGTACGTGTAAGGGTCATATCTTGATACTCCCACTCGAACGCAAAACGCTAGAGACGCGGGCGTGCTCATTCAACTGGGTCTTCGTTTGACGATGAACGAAGAGCAAGCGAGTGTCGATGGTTGCGGAAAAGTTTTCGTGGTAGGGATTTCGTGAAGATGTCGGCAATCATATCATGTGTGGGTACATAGGGAATGATGATGGTGCCGTCGCTGACCAGATCTCGAACGAAGTGATAGCGGACGCGAATGTGCTTGGCCCGGTCGTGGAATTGAGGGTTTTTCGTTAGTGCGCGACTTCCATTGTTATCACCATATAACGTGGTGGGGGTGATCAGCGAGAGGTCAAGACCAAAATCGCATAGCAGCTGGCTGAGATGGATCTGTTCGCGGGCCGCGTTAGAGAGTGAGATGTATTCAGCTTCAGTAGACGAAGTCGCAACGACGGATTGCTTTTGGGAACGCCAACTGATGGGGGAACCGAAAAGAAAGTAGACATAGCCCCCAATTGAGCGACTGTCGTCTTTATCAGACGCGAAGTCAGAATCCGAATAACCGATGAGTCCTTGGTTGGACAAACCAAACGTTAGGGAATGATGTGTGGATCCACGAAGGTAACGAAGGAGATGGTGAAGCTGGCGGTAGTGGTCTATGCCAGGGTTACTCAGATATTTTGACAGCGCCGATACTGCATATGCAATATCGGGACGACTAACGCGCATGGCGAAGTTGAGTTCCCCAACGACACGCGCGTATGGCATGTGCGCAAATTGTTGGATTTCGGCTTGAGTGAGGGGTGCAGATGACTTCGTCAAGGAGATCCCTGGAACCATGGGGGTAGATACTGGTCGACAATCTGACATCCGAGTTTCACTGAGAATCTGTTCGAGAAAGGAGGATTGGTTGACGGTAAGGTGCTTCTTAGAGCGATCTCGTGTAATGTGCATTCCTAAGAAATGACGCGCTTCACCAAGGTCCTTCATTTCAAAACGTTTGCTCATCTCCGATTTGAAACCGTTAAGGAAATCCCGACAGTTCGATGCGAGCAACATGTCATCGACGTAAACAAGGAGCCAGATGGTCTTGTCATCTTTTCGTAAAACATACAGACTATAGTCTGCTTCGCTACGAACAAAATTAAAACCTTCTTTTCGCAGGAAATCATCGAGTGTCTTGTTCCATTGACGACCGGCTTGCTTGAGTCCGTAGATGGCCTTGAGGAGTTTCCAGACCCAATCTGGATGCTCAGGGTCTTCGAAGCCTGGAGGTTGACGCATGTAGATTTCTTCGTCAAGCTCGCCATTGAGAAAGGCGGTCTTCACGTCCATTTGATCAAGTTCAAGATCAAACTTAGCGACCATGGAGAGTAGTGCACGTACGGTGTCGTATTTTGCAACAGGAGCAAAGGTGTCGGTGTAATCTAGTCCTTCGATCTGTGTGAAACCCTGCGCAACAAGGCGGGCCTTGTGGCGGGCAATCTGGCCATTTTCGTCATACTTGTGCGAGTACACCCACCGTGAGCCGACTGCTTTTCTCCCTGATGGGAGTGGTGTTAAGACACCCACTCCTTTTTCTCCCAACGAAGCTAACTCTTCATTCATTGCGCTTTCCCAATGACCCGAATCCATTGACAAGCGAGCGGCAGCTATCGTTTTGGGGGGAAGCTTCCGTCCATCAATCTTGTTGCTGTCCGCCAAGGATACATGCTTCGCGGAGTGCTCAATGGTGACATCGGGGGTAGCACTAATACTAAGATTTTCTTCTTCAACAACCTCCTCCTCAACAGTGACCGGTACATAAGTCCAACGCCGCTGTACTGGGACATGTTTTGTTGGGATGGCAACAGTTTTCGGGACTGCTGGTCGCGCGTCAATGCGTTGACGTGTCGAACGTCGTGGCTCAGGAGATGGTACCGTTTCTACCGGAACTTCAGCAGGGACAGGGAGAACATTGTCGTTCGACTGCGGGAATGGCTGTGGAGGTTCGGGGATGAGAGGAGCAGAAGTCGGAAGTACTCCCACTGAAACGGTACTGGGTCCTGGTAGTGTAATACCGGAATCATCTTCTCCAGGTCGTGTGGTTCTGAAGCCGTCTTCTGATATCGGCAAATCATGTGGCAATGCGAGGGTGGGCTGCTGCATTGCAATGCGCTGGTTGTGTAATTCAACGAGGGGCGAGAGAACTGAGTTGGGTGTGCCGTAGAAGAATTTTTCATCAAAAAGGACATTTCGAGAGCGCACCGTCTGTCGTGTCGCTGGATCCCATAGAAGATATCCCGCATCTTTGACGTGCCCCAGTAGGAAGCACCGTCTCGAAACAAAGTCGTACTTGTGGCGATTGTCGTCTGGGATGTGAGCATATGCGAGGCAGCCAAACGGACGTAGGTGCGAGACATTTGGTAGTTCACCATAGAAGAGTTCAAACGGCGTTCTGTTGTCAGTAGCTGACGACGGGAGGAAGTTCTTGATGTATACTGAGTTGAGGATGGCGTGGCCCCAGAACGAACGAGGAAAACCACTCTGGTGATGGGCACTTAATGCTCGGGTGGCAATGGTCTGGTGTCCACGTTCGGCAACACCATTCTGTTCGGCTGTATGAGGCATCGTAAGTTCGTGCTCAATTCCTTTACTACGCAGGAATTCAATAGTAGCGTGAGAGACGTATTCGCCACCGTTGTCACTGCGGAGGCGTTTAACTCGTTGCCCTGACTGGTTTTCAATCCAGGCGATATATCGCAGAAGGTGCGAGTGTACCTCACTCTTGTGCTTAATGAGGTAGATAGTGGAATAACGCGAAAAATCATCAGTGAAGGCAACAAAGTATGTTTCGCCGGACGGGGTTGCAGTGTTGACGGGTCCCCAAACGTCAGTGTGAACAAGTTCAGCGACGTGCGTTGCACGGTGTCGAGCATGAGACGGGAACGGCAATCGTTTTTGTTTGCCCATTAGGCACGACGGACAGTCAATGTGGTCACCAGGTCCTGTAGACTCGTCTAACAGGTTAAGTGACAGTCCTAATACAACCTTCTCAGCTTTGCGCAAGGTGGAGTTTGCGGCATGGCCCATGCGTGCATGCCATACAGCTAGTGGTAATGGCGTAGCCGAGGTGGACCTGGTGGCAAAGGCCGTATGGGTGTGCTTGGCTCGAAGGTAGTATAGACCGGCAGAGCATTCCACACGTGCGATCACAGTCTTATCAGCACGACGCATTTGTCCTCCTTCAGCATCCGTTTCGAAGAAAATTCCCTCCGACGCTAGAGCAGACACTGATATCAGTGTGCACCGTAGGTCTGGTACGTGGAGGAAAGGGAGTTCGATAGACTCATGTCTTCCGTCGAGCACTAGCGTGATGAATCCCCAACCTGGGGCAAGAACAGTATCGTCATTCGCAAGTTTCACGATTAATGGAGGGTTGTAAGTTCTGTAGCGAGTGAAGAGGGAGTGATTGGATTCCATATGTGCGGTGGCGGCAGAGTCTACGTGGAATTGAAAAGAAATAGTGCTCGTATTAGAGAAACTAGCAGAGTGTGTAGGAAGACGAAGAAACGATGGAATGCCGTCAGGTTGTCCTGGTAGGGGAACTGATATGTCAGTACCTTGTGAAGGTGAGGGGGGAATGCACGCTGACGTGTTTGATGAGTCGGATTTTGCTAGACGAGCACGGCAGTTGTTCCAGATATGGCCTGTGCGCTTGCAAGATCCGCACGTCGAGCGCCACGACAACTCCCATTTATCTCCCTTGGAGGCGTCAAAATCCTTCGGTTTGGCACGCTCAGTAGGTTTACCTGCTTTCGCCACCCTAGCAGCCATGGCTGTGTGGTGCGCATGTGGGTTTGCAGAGCCGAAACTTGCATAATATTGTTCCGAGTTCCTGATCTGGCTGATGACTCCTTCCAGCGTTAGCTTCCCGGTATTGGCGTCAGCACTATGGAGTATGAGCTGGGAAAGCGGCGCATAGAAGTCGGGAAGGGCACGCAGTAGCGCTTGGACAAGGGTATATTCGTTGCACTTCCATTCGATGGATTCAATGACCTTGAATTGGGCCTTGATGTCCGTGATCTCCTTAATGGTCTTGGTAAGAGAGTCGCTATCAGATGCTTTGGGAAGGTCAAAGATACGGCCCATGAGGCTCGTAAAGCGGATGCCAACAGACGCCTGATACTTGTCTTCTAGCGCTTTCCAGATGACGGCTGGATCAGTGACACCCATGAAGTGGATGAGGTCACTTGAGTGTACCGTCATACCAAGGAGTCCTTTGGTTATGCTTTGGCGTTCTCGGAAAGAAATGACGTCCGCGCTCGCATCATGTGCCGCGAGGCGTTTGTTGAAGTCAGCCTCAGTCTCAGTGGTGCTTCTGGTTGGGCGCGGAGGACCCTTCTCATCTCCTGAAAGGAGGTGCCAAAGGTTGAAGAGCGAGAGCCAAAGGTCCATGGTCGTTACCCACGAGGTGTAGTTGGAGCCATTGGCGTCCAGAGGAGGGTGAGGAAAAGATGTTGGAATCCGGATGTTGGACGACGATATGGTGGACATGACAGGTGTCGAACGATGTGTCGGCGATGGCGACAATAGAATGGGAAGATTCAATGGGTGTGGTAACGAGCGAGTTGGTACGACAGGCGTTAATGGCGGCGATGGCGGCAAGGGAATGGATAAGATCCGCAGGTCAAGCGGGGATAGAGGGCGACCTTGTTCCAGTTCGGAAAAGGTCGGAGAGGCTCAGATAAGGCGAGTGGAAGCGAGAAACGAATGTATGCCTAGTCTGAGCCAGGGCTCATAACCTATCAAAGGTGAAGAGACTCGGACTAGAGAAACTAAGGGCGAGAACAGAACTCAGTCTTGGTTCAAAAAGACTGTAGGGTAACTATGGACCATACCTAAGGGCGAGAACAGAACTAGTAGAGTAGTAGTTAGTAAGAGTAGAGTAGGGATGTCAATAAGATAGCTCACCTCAGTCTTGGTTCAAAAAGACTGAGGGAGATTGTTCGACGAGAGGAGGAATTAATACGTTTGATTGGGACGGAGAGTCAATAGGAAACGTGTATGACGCATGGTAGGAGGAGTGTTCGTGTATGTAAAATGAAAAGGCTAAGTACGTGTAAGGGTCATATCTTGATATCTAATTCACCTTCGACCAATCGTACAGATATGCCTTATTCTCCAATAACCATATTTCTCCCCCGCGTCACACGGAACGTTACGATCCTTATAGAAAACAGTACGTAGTTGAATTTGCCCAGCTTGGACGTCCAGGCCTCGGGTTTCGTTATTACTAATTTATCAGGCAGCTGTATTAATATTCCAAATTGCTCCTACGTTCTGTGCAGGGAAGCAAATAATACTCATCATTTAGTATTCGGTCTCGCCCTCCAGTGAAAGCGTCCATTCCCCCGCAGCGGATAAAACCGGGCGTTCTCCTGACTGACGAACGTGCGTTATACGTACAAATTCGTATCAAAGGACATCTTCTCGGTCAGAGGATTCCGTGGGCCGTGGCTTTATGGCCCTTGATGCGATCAACTACTCAGGGACACTGTGACACACGCCAGGCTCAGAGTTGGGTATGCAAAGGTGTATGTATATCTTGCAAGCTTGATATATAATTTCCCCACTTACCTATACAGCGTCTACCTCTATCGTGGACTGTTTAACGGTCGACTCAAATCTTGCACCATCTCAATCCATTGAAGAGGCTAGTAACGTATTTAGGACCGAAGGATGAACTCAGCCGGCTTCTTCAAAGGGGATACAATGATGGAAGTACGTATTCGTCACTCTGAATCATTGAAAACACCCTCATAAGCCATAGGTCCTCACAATTCTGGCCAATTCTGGAACAGACGTCAAGACAGTCCGGGACGCAGTGATATTATACATTGCGCGGAAAAAGCAAAAGGGTCGGTCTGAACGACATATTTAAGATAAATTGCTGCAACTAGAGGACAAGGTCACCTATATTTTTTATCCAACTCTTCAACGATTAACACCAGGTATTCCAGTTCAAGCATATCGAGATGTGGCATCCAGCATTCCGAGATGCGCGAGCATTATTCCAGCTTCCCAAGTCCAAACATATCCCACTTTCTAAGTCCGTTATCCGTAAACAACATGAATCCAAGCTGCATCCAATAGACATGGGATCGGTCCTTCTCTCTCAAGTCACCTGCGTCACCATCTCATGGCTCGCCGACCCCTAGTAGCTGGGATGGATCGCTGCCGAGATTACAAGACCTACCATGCGTATTACCTGCCTTTTGTTGAGAAGATGAGAGTCTGGAATCTCGTGTGCATATTCCTCCATCGTCCTCTGAGAAAATAATTTCGTCCGACGTGCTTTCATTGCTCTTCCAATATGGCGACTCCGAAGGAGACGACGAGATCACGGCGTTCCTATCCAAGGTTGAACAGAGCTAGTCAAAGTCATAGAATCGTATTGTGCTCGACTTTAGGCACGTCGCACCGCATGCTTCCTCCTGCCCCTTGTGCTTTCAGCCTCATACATACTCACCTACCTCTTGACAATCAATGACTTTTTGCAACGTTGGGGGATTGTTGTGCTTGTTCTGCGTGTCACGGTGTCACTGGCGGCTTGTTTGTCCACAATCCTCACATCATGTTGCTCTATCACGAATCATTTTACGGTTGCCTTGCGAATCACCGATAGAGGCGTCTTATGAATCATTACATATCGATGGAGTCGGTCGCTAGGCTCGAACACTTTGCGTTAATCGAGCCACCACTTACTGGTATTCTGACTTAAACCCGACGACATTCGCTGTATATCTACGCAAACACCGGTGGGAACCTCTTTTAAGTCACACAGCGATAGTTCAAGCGGGAGTAAGCCCCCCGCGAACAGGGCTATGTCCTACATAGGGTCTTCGACCCCGAAGGATAATAAAATTGATTTTTTAAAAATTAAAATAAAGTAACACAGCAAATGTGCAGATCTCCGGTGAAATTTTGCAGCAAAAATATCGGTTGTCGTTTACAGCAATTGCGCCCTGTTGTTGGACAGGCGATACCTTGAAACAAAGTAGGAATATCTATGACATTTGTTATACTAGTACTCTTTCAGACTCTATCTCCATAACATTAACCGCTCAGCAGCTAACCTTCATTCCAAACACCCCGTCACACCCTCAATCCCACCATGAACATATACTCGTAAGCATAAACTTTCACCGCCGCCCATTATTCGGGAGCCTACATTTCCAATATAAATGAATAACAATATCACAAAACGGACGGCGGGCATATGCTGGAAATATTAATATTCATGGGCAGCAGCCCAACTCGTAGGGACAAGAAGATGCCCTTCAGGTCCGTGAACGATCTCAGCGGACGCCAATTGGCACAATTCCGAGGATCTGATATGTGCACGGAGGACATAATGACGGCACTTCACGACTCCGCACACGGAGCAGCACACCTTTACTCCGAGATGAGTGAGGATGTGCCTGGCCATGCTCCCCTTCTTGAGCACTTTGGAACAGCCGCCCCATGAGCAACGTTTACTGGCACTGGCCGGACCCGTGATATCGTGTAGTCGGATGTGAGCAGAAATTGCACGGGTTGTTCCTTCCACAGACATGCCACAGAGGGCTCCCTGTAATTTGCACTCGTACACCACATCTGGTTGGCCACTTTGTTCGACTCGAAATAAGGTTTCGGGATCCACGTCAACAGGCATGTATCAGACAGTGGATCGTCACAGGACGGAAACTGTTAGATGAGCTTGCGAGAATGATCGATCGATATAAGTTATGCTGCTGATCAGCATCAATTATCGATTCACTCTTTGGAAACATGTACCCAACGCACCAGAGAAGTTTAGATCGCTTAAGAAGAGTGCTATCAGAGAACTCTAGAATGCTGCAAGTAGGGGGAGCTGGATCCTTTGAAACTTGAAAGTGAAGTGCTCATCCTCCAGTTATAAAGTTCCTCTGTCACAGCCTATTGTGAAATATGTACGCCAAGCGAAATCAGACATCTTAAAGTGAATATCGCTGACTTGCCACCTTGCGCAGGGTAGGGCCGGGTCCACCACTTGCGGTGCTCATAGCATAAGCGACTATCGGGCCGCTTACCCATCGTAACGTTGTCGATTACTGTGGTCCGATGAAAATGGATCAGGCGAAAACCTGCCTCGAAACAAAATTCTGAATCAGACTAGATTCATATCAGAATCATGGTCTTTTGGACGAACCGCCTTGCCTGAGAAATGAATGTGTGAGAAGGCATTCCCTTCTCACTGATCCACGAGACTACTAGAATCATGAGCGCTGGAAGATAAAGTTCGGGTTTCTTCCAGAGAATCCGCCAGTTTCCATAGGGTGCTTTACGTTGATTCTAGTGCTTCTCATCGGAATTCGACTTTATCGGCACATAAAAGAATATCAGCAGCCAGTCTGCCAGGGTGTATTTCCGACTACGACCAGATCGAGTACTGAGCACTTAACGCGACACTTTCGAGATTTATCAAGCTGCAACAGATAACTAAGTATCCACGTGAAGAGTCCATCAGAAACGCACAGCAAGACCGACCTAGCAATCCCGGACCCAAGACTTCGGGGACCTGAGCACCTCCATCATCTTTCCTTCGGCCGAACCACTTTCTTCAAACATATCTGACATATACTCCCATCTTGCCATTTCTGGCATTCCCATCAGCACGTTCTCCACATTGACTCCGGGTGCAGCTAATCCAAATTTAATTCCCCTCTCACAAACGAGGTTAAATTCAACATATCGCCCACGTCGGAGAAGCTGCCAACGGCGCATGCGTTCATCTGAAGGCATGATTTTCCGGCGATTGAGAATGCTCATATAGGAGGAGGTGAATACATCTCCAAGAGCACGTACGAATGCGAATATGTCATCTGCTGTGCGGGGGCGGGCTTCCCCGTCTACGGTGCCTAGAATAGTGTTCATCTCGTCGTTTAGGTCATCAAATCTGATCCCTCCAATACCACGATACTCCTTGCGATGGGGAATGAAGAAATGATCGTCGCAAGACTGTTTGAACTTGGGATACAGGGCTGTCCCATAGGCGTCGCAAACCGCCTTCAGCGTCTCATGGAACTCCTTCGCATCCTCCTCGAACAGGTATGATGGCGTGAGATCTGTGATGCCACCGAACCACCACCCAACAACCTTTGCATCCTTCTCTGTGGAATCCATTACCTCAAAGTACCTGTAGTTTGCGTGCGCACTTGGTGCGTTCGGATTGCGCGGATGTACGATTAAGCTGATGCCACCAGCAAAGAAGGGAAGGGCAGTCGTAGTATTGACATCCAGGGATGAATGTTCGCTGCTCATTTGCTTGATTGCAGCTGGGGGGAGTGTGCCGTGGATCATAGAGATATTGACGCCGGCTTTTTCGTAGGTGGCATCATCTCCGGAAGAGGCATATGTGCGCGAGATGCCACCACCGCCTTGCGGACGTGACCAGGCATCGCATTTGAACTGACACGGAGAGACTGAGGCCTCCTCAAGAGCACTGACGATGTCGTTCTGGAGTTGGGTGATGTAGTCGATGACGCGCTGCCGCATTGTGGTTGGGATAGACAACGACTCGGAATTCGACATCTTTTCTTTGCGTAGGTAACGATCAGTGTTTGTGTAGGAATCAAACTCGTGCATACCTTGCAGGTGGCCTACTAGTTATTCCCTAGTATGAAACCGCGGAAATAACTCACGTTTGGGATCTCTGAGCCTTGGGGTGCTCAAGGAGATACTTGATACCGTAGAGTGTTAGTATATGATAAGATTGAAAGACTGACTTAGTACATAATAGTACCAACGGCCGGGTCTGCAGTTGATCAAGTCCCCACGCGGGGCTGGAGCGCTTAGCGCTGGCCAGATGTAAAACTTCGTTGTCAAGTTGCGAGGGTTGGATTTACATAACCGATAGTTACATAAACCGAAATTTATCTCCAAATAAAGAATCTATGTATAAACTTTAATATTTAATATTAAAACACAAACACATGTAAAATTTGATATCCAATACCATTGCAGTACGAATGCTGCAGATATAACGCCAATCTGTCTGGCAGACCCTACCTCAATAAATAGTGACCACTGGACGATACAACGTGCAGTGAGGCTCGATTGTCATCGCATTGGAGCGGCGTTTAAGTTTACATTGTAGTAAACGGTGGGATTCTTCAGGTGACGAGTTCCCCGCCTCAGATCGCTCAGATTCGGCTTCGCAGTGGAGACATTCACGAACTTCTTTCTTCATGATCACACGAACTCCGAGTTAACACGAACTTTATATAATAGTTCTACCTTTTGAAGGCTGGTCGTGTCCAGGTATCAGTAAGTCTTTCACCACGGTGTTACGTTTCTGCTCATCCTCCAGTGAGGTTTACAACCGGCGTACTAGTTTTGCATGCTGCAACTTTCTCGTGCTCGGATTTATGCGATGTACGAGGATTTGAGACTATTTGAATTCTGCAGTCGTCATGGGCGGGCTCCGCTCTTCCATCAAAAATTCCTCAAGGAAACACACAACAGTTTTGGATTGCTTCCCCAGGCCTGCCCTCGCAGCCGGCCGCGGGCATATGGCTTGGGTGCGAGATTAACTTTTTTCCAAGTTCCCACTTACAAAATCTTTTTGATATGTTACTCAATTTAGTTTGGCAGTGTCCTTGGTGCCTGGGTCCCCTTATAAGCGAAGGGACTCACCAGATGTCACAGTCAGATGTCTATCATGTCAAGCAATACAACCACGACTTCCCCAGCTGTCATAGTGCCTCCGTCGCCTCCGCCTGGGACCAATTATATTGCAATAATACAGCCATCTCTGAACTCGATCATGATTGGACACACCTTCACTGTCATTCTGATTCCCCTGATTTTTGCGCTCTTTTATTTCTCCACTCCACTTTCTCGAAGAAGACCCATATTCATTCTCAATGTCATAGCCATCATTCTGGCATTCACTGCTGGGATCATGATCGACAGCCTTGCGGTCAGTATCACTATTGTCTCTTACATATGCATAACATTGATTCGATCGCAGATTCATTCAATGCTGTCCCCATTGGATGCATGGCCGCCATCAGTGCGACTTTCTCTCTCTTTCTCTGCCGCTTCTTACATTCTCATCCAGGTTAACATCGCTATTGGAATTATAGGCGCATTTCAATCGATCCTTGTTGACCTTATCCTTCTGCTACGTCTTGCACTGATATACCCTTACACCATTGTGGGTCCGAAACGTTTCGCCCTTATCACCACACTTCCTGTACTCTTGAAACTTGCGCGCCTCGTCAACATGTTCGTGTTCATTAAAGTTCTTGCGGATGCTGCGCGTGGCCCAATGGGAAGCGAAAACATCGCAGTGGTGTGGGCCACTACACCCTACCTCAAGATTGAGTGGTCAGCGCAGCTCGTCGATAATGCGTGGGTGTTTCAGCTTTGAGAGTAGGTCAGATGGTTGAAAGATTGCAGCTATGCCTCCATAGCCTTCCTCTGGGCAATCCGTCTTCGAAGAAAATATAGATCAAGTGTTGAGAGTGAAATTAGCCCACGGAGAAGTATGTTGCCAATTTTTGTATGGGTCAAGTTTGCGTTGACACGGATACCTAGCGACGTTTGGGCAACGCATGCGCACTCTTTTCTACATATCGGTCTCTAACTTCGTCTTTCCTTCTCTCTTGTCCCTCGCACAGCTGGTTGTCGTATACAAAAACGTATATGTCCTCACAGTCAACGAGATCGTGCTCGTCAACACCATGGTTGCTGTCATTGGGGTCGTGTTCGCGACCGTATGGGCCGGCTCTGTAAATTACCAAGACGAGAAAACGGAGCCTGACGGCGTGTTTGAAAAAGCGCAAGCTGCGTCGTTTGATGGACCAGGAACGTGGAAAGTCGCCACAGTCCAGCCTAGTTTGACAATGGGATCGACTGCTATTACTGAACGGATGCGCACCACAGGTGGGGAGGCGATCAGGCTCGTTGACACGAATCACACTTCAGGTGAGTAATTAGCAAGTCCTTCCGGAATGATTAGTTTTAACCCTATATTTTTAGATATCTTTTCGAAATCCTCTGCAGGAGATTTACGAGGACAAGGCGCTTTCTAATTAGCTTTAGTCCACAGGCGTCTACATACATTGTATGCGATCGTGGCAAGCGAAGTGGGTGTTATGCTATACAGATAATTTATTGGTCAAAGCGTCAACGCCTTTTATGGTGCGCGAACACGCGAAACGATACAAGAAACAATAAAAATTGATGGAATGAGAGGGAGAATTAGGTTACAGTATCACATCTACTTGATTTCGGTGCCTATTAAATTGAAGCATGAGGACTTGGACGACATACCATCTCGTAGGCGAGGATACTGTTTAACCTATCATGGTGCAATGAGACCATCTTATTAGGTCCTTGGAATTGCAGGAAGGGTGGAAAGCCACTCTGAGCTGGGCAGGTAAGCTCGAGCTATCATTTTTACCAACCCAAGACGAGCCACAGCACCAAGGATGAGCTGTGCGTGATCAAAAACGGGTCTGCAGGGGAAACCTAGTTATGGTTTTCAAATACTCGCATACTTTTTACTATTTCGCAGTCTTCTACTGTCTTCATATAAGAAGATATCACCCTACAGCGTGAAAGACGATTATTTACAGTACACATAGGGCGGATACTCGGCGGTGATATGCACATGCCACACGCAATCATTCGTCGATGTTCACCGAGTACTGGGTAGCGGTTACCATCAGATAAGTTTGAACGGCCGCTTAGGCATCATGCATCATGCATCACCCCTGAAGGCAACCTCCGCTCTGGACGGTGTTTCACATCGGAGGCAAAAGCATGAGCGAAGCAAGACACTGCCCTATAGGTTAGGTTAGAGTTGATATACCAATTTAAGCCATCTTCGTGTCGCTGTGTGCCGCTTTAGCTATTCAGCCATCTATCGCGGGTGTATGTGTCCGAAACTCAAACTCCTTTAAGCTTTCGGATTAGCATTACACAACCGAACAAATACGTACTCATCACCAGACCGGTCGTGCGCGTGATCTACCCTTTCTCAACCACTGTACTGTATTCCAGGGTCCTTATGTGTCCTTGCGCTCGGCTTCGTTCTCGTTTGTTTTACCTTCGATTTGAAACCCTGCCTGAAACCGAGATTTAGGTAGCACGTGGTCGGCAACGTGCTGAGGTCTGTGGGCACCGAGGAATCACGCGAAGGGGTATGAACACCGTTCTACAGCAGTCAAAATGATCTCGGAAGGTCATGTGCATAGAAGCAAGCCTCTATCTGCGAGTAACGTGTTGATTAGAGCATATACTTGAAACAACAAGTCACTCGAAAAAGTAAGTGTCTAGAACGACAATGACGGTTATTTACAGACGACCAAACCCGAAGATAAAGAGTTCAAGATCGTCCCTAGAGCTGAGGCTTGAATTGGGCTTGAACGCATGGGTCTTGAGAACAGTCCTTATTTCTGTCCGTTGAGAGATAGACTGAAACAATGGTTTCTCTGACAGATCAGCAGTGGTCATTCTAATAATCAGTAGGTCAGAAAGTACTTGCCAAATAACCTTCTTGCTGGTAGTCATTCAGGGAACCAATCCTGCTGTGTGAATGTTACCAGTCTGATGTACATAAAAATTGGAAGTCGCAATGGCAATTGCAAGCAAAATCATGGCGAACTGGATTCCGGTGTCATATGTCGACTGCACTTTTCAAAGCACATCGATATGAATATCGTTGACAAAATACATCGATGATGGATGTGATTTGAGCGAGATGCAGGACTCCGAGTCCACGTGCCACAATGCCCGATATGAAGAGTTGCAGCTTTCCTTGCACCAAATGTAGGTGGCCATGCCTTGACACTTGCACTTATGGGCCCGGGGTTTTATTCATTGGCTTGGGTTACAGTGATGTTCCATTGCACCATAATTCAAGCAGAAGACGGTACATGCAGCGTGGCATGACTTGGTTGGCTCGAAAATTTATCGTTCCTATGAGGTCTATATATAACCTCCACCGCCACATTTATGTGAGGATATTCATGTTGTGAATATAACACATGGTACAGTCCACTATTAATATGTTCATTAGTTCGTTACGCTGTACTTGAAGGCTGAAAGATATTGAAACGGTCAGTACTGGTCAATGCCTGGCCCACTGACTGGAACACACCTGCTAGTGGACGAGTTTGGGACGAACTTCTACCCATAAGATACGATCTGCTCGCACAATTTGAGTCAGGAGCCTGATACACACCGTCTAGAAGCCAACACGTTCGGAGTTGCAACGTTGGAGATCAAAATCCTCGGACCCGTATTGGGTAGATGCGCAAGGCTGCAGCTCCATCGAGTAAAGAGTTCCAATCTGTATGAACACCGCGACTATTTTTGCCTGAAAACGAGACGGTTCAACCGATTAAATAAATGCAATGCAAGGACAAGCTCTCCGTCGAGAGAGAAAACGCGGAGATGAAGGTGTTCTCAGCGTCCTCGTTGTAGACTCGGTCAACTGACCGAAAAAGAAGCGTTCTCGTAAGTAATTTTGTATAGCCACATGCAAACAGCTGCTCAGTAACCATTTTGCTTTTCTACCACTTAACCACCGCTCCGTTCATTCGTTTACTCCCTCCCTCTCCTTTTACAATGCCAGGTTCAATGGCCTTCTCTCTTTTTTTCTCGTTCTTTCTTGGTATTTTTTCGGTTATTGGAGTTGGTGCAGAGACACATACCATAAAGTTTATCAACCAGTATGTCACATATGAAGGAATTACGCCGCAATTCTGACACAAATCACAGATGTGGTTACGGAACCGTGAGCTCCACCGGTGGCCTCAATCTGTCTGGGAAATAATTAGCTCATACTTTCTCTAGCCGTGCTTGGTTGAGAATGGTCGCAACGTATCTACTGGACAGGACTATGTCGTCGATAGCATGTTTTCCGGAATTGCGTGAGTTCTACTCCTTTATTTTTTTGTGGTGTTCGCTCAGCCGTATGTCATCAGATACTTACAGACCGGTAAGTAAAGCGCTCGTGTACAAATTGTACCAAATGAAACATCTATCTACACAGGACAATGTGACACAAATGGCGAAGGTTGCACGTTGCTCGAGATGAATTTGGTCAACCCCACCTGTCCGGGGTGTGGTTCCAGCGTCGATATCTCACTCATTGACCCGTGAGTTTCTTGCTTGTGAATATAGATCTACCCTCACCACGTCTGCTCAGTCATCGTTTCAATGTGGAAGCTTCTTTTGCGTGAGTATGCATATTTCCACATATGTCATCATCCTGACGACCAGATAGGTATTACAACGGATGCGACGGATTTGGAGCCGATTGTGAGTATTGTCTGGTATGGAATCCATGTTTACGCTTACAATTTGCTTCAAGGCAACAGCCCCAACTGCGCCGTAGCTTTCTATGCCCCAGAAGACTGGTATGCCCAACGTCAATGTGAAACTAATGATGTATGTAGTTTTGAAATATTGGTTTCACCGACTAATCAGTCGTGACACAGGTGGACCTCCTCATTGCATTTTGTGCCAACGCATCCGAGCTTGTACCGGGCGCGAGTGTTCCTTCTTCAGCCCCTTCGAGCTCCACCGTCCTGAGCACTTATTTGCCACAAACCACTGCGACATCGACAGGGACATCTCTATCAATCCCTGCTACGTCGCAGAAGGATTTACCTACCTCCATCAAAGTTATCAGTACACCATCTTCCACTGGTAGCAGCGACCCAGCATCCACACCGAAAAAATGTCGGAGGAAGTCAAGTAGCGCTGCCACTGTTGCAAAGCGCGAACCCACAGGACTCGTGTCGAGGATACACCGCCAGCGTCGGTCCTTCTGAGGATGAACTCTGTTCATCCTCTAGTTTTTTTTACAGTTATTGATTAACTACAAGCGGGATTGCTGTTTTTGCTATGTGCTTTTTGCAGAATGCCTTGACATTCTGATATTTTGTATATCCAGTCTTACTCCGCATTCACGCATGCGTGAATCATATTCATAGGGTGGACGCCCAGGTGGCATTCCAGATGTTGCTTTATTCTCGATCATGCAGCCGGTCTTAGCTTCCCCAGTACCATAGATGTATTGTCCTCACGTTTTCTTGCTGACCTGACGCAAAGTCGGCAGAGCCTTGCTGTCTTTTATTGAAATGTTATGATACGATGTATCAACATGCGTCTTACACGTTCCCTGAATGCGATTCGTATTTGATCAATCCAACAACGCCTCTCGGACATACACCCGCCCCTCATACTCCCTTAGAGTAACCTTCTCCTCAAGTCCGATCGCCTCATTCTCATAGTTGCCCAAGACAAACGTGTATCCCGCTACTCCGACGACCTCCCCAAGGTCAATCTCAACCTTCCCTTCCTTGAAATTAAGCAACACCAACGCAGACGTAGACCCATAGTTCCTCGTGTACGCGAAGACCTGTTCATGTGCTTCAAGAAGCATCACAAAGTCGCCGTAGATCTTGGCATGGGCATGCGTCAGTATTAGAGGAATGGAAGGGGTAGATGCGGAAATACAGATGGAAATGAAAGGCGGTAGTGTAAGTCCAGTTAAAACGAAATGCGTGTAGGAGAACATATCTCGAACGACTTACGAGAACATCGTGCGTCTTCTGCACCTTCAGCGCGCGCCTCCAGAATGCGTGCACGCTGGTGCCATCGCCGATCTGTTGTTCAGCGTTCCACTCTCGGTAATCGTCATTCACGCGCATCCACGGTGTTCCTGTCGTGAAGCCTGCATGTGGACTCGCATTCCACTTTAACTATAAATGAGATGATGGAAGGAAGTGATAAATTTGTTCTTACCTGCATCGGGGTTCTTGCGTGATCGCGCGCCTTTTGTGCGAAACTGTTGAGAAGATCAGACATTTCAACATCCTCCTTCCCTTGCGCTTTCTGTCTGCTCTTTAATCCTATCGTATCCTTAGCACTTATTCCCACGATATAGACAAAGAATAGAAAAATGCAACGCACAGATTCCAATAATTCTGACTTGCTACGTCTTTGTATTCCTCGATCCCCCATGTCTGCGGGAAGTTCTTGATGCCAAGTTCCTGCCCCTGATACACGTATAGTGTTCCCGCCTGCGTGACCTCAAAGATGGCGAGTATTTTGGCGGAGACTGCGCGCCACTGCGCCGAGTCATTCCCAAAGCGCGACACTGACCGCGCCTGGTCATGGTTCTCAATGTAAATCCTTTGATGGCGCCAAACAACATAAAACAT